ATAGAAGGCTTGAACGCAACGTAGATATTTACAACAGGAAGCTAGAGTACCTAATATGATTTCATATAACCTTTTCTATTATTGTAATTTTGTTTAAACAAAACAATAGATAAGAATCAAGTATTTATCAAGAGCGTTCTGGCAGGCGCACTATCCTTTGCATATTTTTATACTATTCATACTAAAAATAGTCGGAATATTATTCAATTAATATTATTAAAAAAAAATATTTTCAATTTTATTAACTGATAATTTAAAAATATATTTTCAATCCTGATTGTCAATCAATATTATATTCATATATACCTGAGATGATGATGATGATGAAGGTTTAAATATATATGAAAATTGATAGATAATTTTAATGTAATATTTGATGTATTATTAGGGAACTTGTAGATTTAAAGAACTTTTAACATGTTAAAACGAGGTTAAACTCAAAGGCTAAGTTACAATAACTAACTACCTACTGTACCTATAACTACTGTTAGTCAGTTTTTATCATCAGCATATTTATAAGACAAAATACTGGAAATTGGTCTTTAAGTGAATACTTTTAAGTCTATTATGAGTGAAAAGTATATGCAGTTGCAGTCCATCTCTATACATAGTTATACCTATATACCTAAGTGCAAAGTACCTATAGATGATATCATGATTTCCTAATTTTATCATCAATATTGATATGTTGCTATCGTCAATTGTCGTATGTAATGAGATAAGATCTGTTTCTGAACTTGAAATTTGTTGTATATAAAATATACTTACTTACCTAGTTTCGTATTTACATAACACTGAACGATATAGATTGTATTATATTGTAAAAATCTTTATTGTACTCGGTAACAATATTTATTACGTATAAAGAATGATATATATATATATATATATATATATATAATATTTATTTATTAACTCTTCATTGCATCAGTTAAAGAATAATACAGAAAAAAAAACATATTACACTTAAATAAAAAAACTAAAATACAAAAACGGTCTTTTCGTTAAAACAAACTTCCATGCAATTTTTAGGGTAAAGGAGTAAAGAAAAAAGGTGGTCATTGTTTACTGCAAAAAATGTACCAAAGAAAGCTTATGATAATAATAATATAGATGTAACTAAAAATTATATTTGTGTGTGTATGTGAAAAATCTTAAAAACTTATATTGAATTGACAATGACTTTGTTACTCTTGTGCACTTAATCTACTCAAATACATGTTTCAAAATTACCATAGATTATATGTGTATATGAAAATACAAACTTTTTTAAAAAACATTAAATTAACTTAAAAAAAAAACGCTAAATAAACTAACTACTATTAATAAACCAATAAATTTAAATAAAATATGATTATATATACTGATCTGTTTGAAGTTAGTGCTCCTATTTTATTGAAGTTGGTTAAAAATAAGTAATACCCAGATAAAAGAAAAAGAATAAATACGATATCATTATAGGTACTATTTCATTTTATTTTTCATTAAACTATAAACTTCTTGAAAATAGTACTTATATAATAAATACATTTATATTGTCAGCTGTTGCAATTTTTTTATCTTGTATATCTATATTCATCTATGACGTAAAAAATAGAACCTTTATGTAATATGTCTGTCTTCAAAGTTCTTCTAGTGATATTATGAGTGAATAAAGTATATAAGAAATAAAGCGATATTCTGGAAATATTTACTATTGAAGTGTGCGTCTTTTATAACAATAAAATTATTATTTTTAATAATAATTGATAGTAGATAGATCATTACTTACAGTTCACAAATATAAAAAAAAACATACACGTAATACACAGCAAAAGAGACAAAAGAATAAAAATAAAAAAAGCACAAATAAAAAAAAATACAAAAACAAAATATATAATCTAACAATCTCCTTTGTTACCATTCCTTCATTTCAGTTCTATTTATATCAGACTGTAAATAGCTATATTTTAATAAGATATGAAAAATGAGAACAAACATACATACACAACGTACATACACATAGTAGATACATTTTTTATTCAATACTAGCTGTTTCGGTAATTTTGTCTACGTGAATATTGAAAGGAACTTAAGTGTTAAAGATGTGAACACTTAATCTACTTAATCAATTGATCTACGCCGTGTGGTTCCGACATAGAATGGGCCAGCCCTACTTTTCCCGTGGGTGTCGTAAGAGACGACTATGGAAGGGCGAGGAATTGGCAGTAGCGTCCCTCTTAAAACGTCTTTAAAAGTCTAACTGCGGTTTCCAACCCGCATGCCAAGCGTGGCAACTATTGGCAAAACTCCCCTTATGAGGAAGGTTTATGTCCAGCAGTGGACACTTAACGGCTGAAATAATAAAACTAAATTTCATTAAAATTCATGAAATAATATTTTCAGTGATATCATAATTTGATGAGATATCTTTTAATAAACGACAAACTGTATTTCTTATGGGTAATTGCGATTGAAGTTCAAGGAAACGAACTTACGAGTACAAGTAATAACTGTTATGAAAAAGCTGAAAAATCTAGATCGGAATTAATACGAATGTAAAATATCGATTGTAGAAAGCATAATTAAAACTAGTATAGAATTAGTGAGGGTATCGTAAAATGTTAATGTTAATTATTTCATTAGAGTAATATGTGTCTATGTAATGTAAAATACTAGCTTTATGTATTTATTTATTTTCACCATAAAAACCAAATTAACAGACTAGCTACATTCGGCTTACTAAGTACTTACTATATATTAGTAAGCAAGTATATATATCGACAACACGCGCATGACATCCCTGGTATTACAGGCGCCCATAGGCTACGATAACTCCGTTTAGCATCAGACGGACTGCTTATTTGCCATCACAGTGGTACTCGTATATACAAATTACATTCGCATTTTCTCATCAAATGAAACTAGTTAATACCAACAATCTGCGTCTATGTACTGTCCGTCTTGGACTCACACAGTTAAACTCATGAAGAGAATGAAAAAAAATTTATCACAATTTTTTTCCACTTTATCGTATGATTTTTCAAACATCTTCTTGCATACAAACTTTGTCAATTACAACTACATCAAAAAACAATTAGCCAAATAAGTGCAGTCATTCTAAAGTGATGTGCGTATATAAATCTAGCAATTGATTTTTATTTATATGCAATCATGGCTTCTTGAATAAAACATTAATAAATCCCATATAAACATCATAAGAAATTTGACACACATTCCGGAAATATATTCAAATAAGATCAAATCCTACGAGGATATTGAGATATATTGCGATACAAATTGATTCATTCAATAAATAGAATGATTGTTACTTCCCATTTGATCGTTGGAGGAAAGTCGTGAAAGCAATAAGATGAACAGACAATCAGTTCTGTTTATATACCGGGGGAAACAATCAGTTGTCGACTCCCGGGACGCAATAAGCGTAATCCCTGAGACGGCGGCGAAGAAACATAGTCGCTATTAGAAAGGACTTCCAAATAAAAATTCATCGTTTTTAAGATATTTTAATTTTTTTTATCGTTTTTTTCGAGATCATATTATGCAACTTCGATTATCGTGAATTCTGAACTGACTTTTTTTAATCTTTTTAAAATTGATAGGATTTATTCCCATCTTCGAAGAAAGAATCTTTCTTAAGTGGTGACCCCGTACTGGCAAACGTAGTGTAGGACGACCCCCCATTAAATGAAGTGTTAACCTCAAATGCATTGCTGGATTTCAGTGGATGCAGGTGGCTCAAGACCGTTCTTTATGGCAGTCTATGGGGAGGCCTATGTTCAACAGTGGACGGATAATGACTGAGATGTTGATGACAATAATTTCCATATTATATTTTGTGACGTTATTGTTTAATAAACAAAAAACTGCTTGTTGCGAAATGATATATCTGTCTAACAATTTCGCTTTCTCAATTCAAATATTTTCTATGTAGATAATTTTTTTATGAAACATTGCTTCGTTCATCGATGTATGAACATTTCGTTCACACACCAATGACGATGCACACTTGTCAATACATCATTTTATGATCGACTCAAAATCGTATAAATAAATATACTGTATAATTTTCTGAAGTCTGTTAAAAAATAACAAGCACAAAGTTTATAGTGTCATTTCTAATTATAAAATAATTAAGATTGCGTTCCATAAAAAAATTAATTAAATTGTGTCAAAACCAATTATTTTGATTATAAATTAAACTATTGAACCGATTTTGGTAAAATTTCTATTGAACCAATCTGTAAGTATATCCTTTTAAATAAAAAATAATTTTCCAAATCGGTTTATAACTGACTGAGTTGAGACATTGCAAACATAAAAAAAAAATCCCAACCGAATTGAGAACTACCTTCTTTTTGAAGTTAGTTGAAAATAAATATAGTCATATTTAAAGAAAAAAAAAATTGTTAATAATATAAAATTATCGATAATAACTTTTTATACTATTTATATGTAATACTTAATTAATTCACAAGGGCGAACCCCGTGAATTAATACAAGAGAAGCTTATAGTATTGAGTCCTAGATTGCCATTCTGATATGATCCATCTATACGAAACTAAGCTGTTGCCAGTGGCTTTGCACGCATATTGTTATGTTTTCTTTATTGTACACAAATGGTTATTAAAATGTAAAAACAAACATAATAGTGCACAATGGCGAGCTTATCTCTAATAGAGATTTCTTCCAACAAACCCAATATGTTGTTTTCTAAAATTCTTTTCTAGCCAGATGCTCATGGATGTCTAAATCTATGTTTTAAATTTCAGTCTCCTAAATTTAGTAATTTTGGCTAGTATGTATTGACTGTGCCCTGCTAACGTATACCGCTAGCACACGCTGGGTTACCATTGCATTTTCACCCATTAAACAAAGTCAGTCAGGACAAACGATATGTATAGATTATATTGAAACCTGTTCAGCTATTTTACAAACTATTACATTTGTATTAGTGGGATCACTTCCAGCAATCTACGTCGACGTCGGTCACTTCGTAGGGCGGGAGTCGCGTTGCGGTGGGCGCGTGAGGGCGAGAGGGCGGCGCGCGCGCTCCAGTCCGTACCGCGCTCCGTCTGCAACAACTGTCCACAGTGGACTTTACAGAAAACGATTCGAACGAACAACTCTGCAAACACTGTTTAAAATACGTCCGGAACCAAACTGAAGTTACCTCATTATTTTTAAACGCCAGTTCAATATGTGAAATAGTTTGTGTAAACTTATTTATTGTGAAAACGGTTCTGAGAGCAAAGTTTTTTTTTCGAACAATATTATTTTTTTAATTCAATAGGATAGTAATGGATTTGCTATAAGTTTAGAATGGCTGAGAAATTAAACGAGTATCAAGGTTTTACGGGGCGGTTACATAATGTCAGAGATAGATACCGGGAGAGATGGAGCCAATGGAAGGAACAGCATCCTCGGGGTGTAAGGGACGTACTCAAGGAGACATTATTCGGGATACCCAATTCAGAAGAACCTCCGGAAAGGGTATGGCAGGACAGTGAATACAGCGATCTGTTCAGGTAAATTTTACTGACTGAAATCCTATTAATATATAAACATTAAATGCGAAAGTTTGTAAAAATGGATGGATGGATAATTTTTATTCTTTCATGCAAAAACTACTGAATGTATTTGAATTACATTTGGCACACAGTTAAATTATAACCTAATTTAACACATAAGATATTTATGTGCTGATTTATGAGGGCAGAGCCGCGTTTTATAATTAATAACGAATAAGAAAACTACCACTATTTTTAGAATTATTACTTGAAACCAGATAGGGTCATTAAAAGTTTTTTTATTTTTTATTATTACTTGTTGCAATGAACACTTGACTGGCACTTTGTATTAAAGTCTATCATCAATTCGATATTAAACCTATATGTATCTTATATTCAATATTATCGGAAATTAAGACAAATATTCAAAATTGATATATATATATATTTTACTTAATTTCCCGACCCTTTCGTGACAGTGATCGTTAGAAAGTGCACCAATATTATATTCGCTCAGCCTTTTGTGAGTAGTTGAATAATAAACATCTAAGTATCAAAATATTCAAATATTATCTTTTGCCCGCTACTTCGTACGCGCGGATTACAGAAGTCGGAAAACCAATGAAATAGACCTATTCTAGATGGAGTATAAAAAAATCGATTTTTAAGTTAGATCTTTAAGGACACAACAGTGACAACTGCATTCAATTTGGTGCAGTAATTTTTGCGTGATTCCAAAACAAACATACAAATAGATAGACAAACATATTGACAGACAGTCAAAATTTCTAAAAATTGTTATTTTAGAAATTTTGACTGTTGCTCCTATAAAAAGCCTCTTCATGTATAATTTTTTTTTAAATATTATATTATCTGTATACAGACTTCATTCAGCTACATTTTTATTTATTTTTATTTAAATGTCCACAACAAGCAAGCCTCTATCGTAAAGACTCTTGACTGCTCTTTCTTTTGATTACACGGTCTCTTTGATTACAATAAACAAGCTTTTATGCGAGATTTCGTCTGCGTGATCAGGATATATATTTACTGACTAGGATAAAAAGTGTCTTTTTACATCCCATGTAGTACATATATACCAAATTTTATAGTGATTATTTAAGCAGTAAACCGTTATAAGGTAACAAATAAATAAACAGTGAATTTACAGGGTACAGAGGAATAACACTTGAATCCTCAGCGATGGCAACGCATGGGGGGTATCATGGGCGAAACAGTATACTCTGTTATGTCGACGGTTGCCACTTTCTATCAGGTGGGCCGTCATTGGTTTGCCATTCTAAGTTGTATAAAAAAAAAACTCACTCTCACATTTATAATATTAGTAAGGATTTGTTACAAATACGCATTTTGTTTATAATTATATAATGTACAGCTTCCACACAGATAGTAGAAACTACTAGAAAATCGCACAAAATCTAAAACACTACAGTTTTGCAATTTTTCAGTGTATTTCGTAATACAAACTGATAGCCAGATAATCAGATAACAAATCAGTCATTGAGCTCACTGAGGATCAAACAAAGCGACGAATTTTCATCTCAAGTACGTACTAGGCACGACAAAACAATGAGTATATCAAATTTATTAAAAAAAAAAATATATATTAAAATGGAGCGCCTTTGACTATCTTACGTGACATTAAGTAATAATGAGATCTAAGATGTTACACGAAAACTCAAACAATACCTATTCGCTCAAGTAAAACTGGAAACACAGACGCCAGAGGACAATTCCAATCCTTGGCTATTCGTATAAGAAACGATAAAGCGAAGCGCTTAGTATGAATAGATAGAACGTCAATCATATAAGGGTAATATCGTCCCCGGTACCTTATGATCTTTTTTAATTAATGATAATGAAATAGTAACCCCGCCTGGGCTAACAGCATACGCTGGCGAGGCACCAGTAAAAGATGATAGGTGAGAATAAAAGGGCAGTTTAGTTAGCCCATTGTCATGAGTGCACCAAAAATTTAGCACGACAATCTCCAGGGGAACAACGTGGAGGTTAGCTTGATAGGGTATTATTGCCAGCAATAGAACTGATTCGCATTACTAACAATCCCTTCGCCTTGATTCGCCTTGTGATTCAATGATAGAAGATTATTGCGTACTGCCTCGCTACTTTGCCCGCGTGAATACGTATGGTTAGAAAATACCTATGTATTTAGGATGATGGTGCAGTGGTGTATAATATAATATAAAGATTTTTTTTATCTTTAAGTAATATTTTAAATTTCCATTATATATGTAATGGAAATTTTATCAAAATCGTTTTAGTTAATATAATATTGAAATTTTATAGGAATCAAAAGTTTTCATTTTAGAAAATATATAAAGTCTATATACATATATATGTAATGTATATACACACAAAAGGTAACAAACAAACTTATTTTCACATTTATAATATTAATAGGACATTAGGGGTTTGTAGAAACCTATCTAGTGTAAATTTACCTAGGTAATATTTTTAGCACTGTAAATGTTTTCTGACGCCAAAATTAGTCAAACAGACGATTAACTATAATTTATCGCGAACAATGACTAAACAGACGTAGTAATTAAATTTATTATATGTTGATTGAGTGACGACACAAAATATTCTTAGTAAACTTACGCGTTTATTACAATTTGGAGATAAGTTGATAATCAGCTCATGATTAAGAAGATATATTTACAATAGATTATAACTAAGGAGCTATATGTCCTTTAGTCCGATCAGGATACAACTCAAAGGGCTCGTCATTAAGAAAGATCAAAGAACAAAGAAAGAACGTTATTAATATGTAAAGGTACATTTGTAATTAAAAAATTTTTCCACATAGTTATATTATAAAAATTATATGAAAAACATAGATAATTATAAGATTTATTATCATGATGGGAGCTGTTCTTGATTATGAACAAATTAATATTTAGATTATAAAAAAATATTTATAGATGCAGATAAATATAAATGAGAATAGATGCTACTGATGCCATCTTCTTTGGCAAGGTATCTACAACCGAATCTATTATAGAATGATCCCACATAAGAAAGAACAAATGCACATCGCCAACTCATTCTATATTATAGACTCGCTATAGATAACGATTCTATCAATAGATTCTTTTGTAATGTTTTATACGGTAGTACTCAGTAATTTTACTTTCATATATTATACAAATATGTTTAGTGGGAAAAATTGAGATTTCCATGTAAATTTTCAAGTGACTTCAAATAAGAAGGTTTTCAAGTCGATTGTATTTTTTTATATATATATATATATATATATATATATATATATATATATATATATATATATATATATTAATTCCTGAGGACTCAGATGTTATTATATATAATTATATATATAAATATTCGACTTTTGTACAAAGTGTCCCTCTGGTAAACATATTATAACATATTATTGCTATAGAACTTTGGGTGGGTTCAGTAGTTTAGTTTTTTCATCAAATTAACTACTTTTACGACAATTGAAGTCGGTTTTGTTTTGTGAAACACTAATTATCTGTTATTGCCACTTAATTACCACGAAACAAAAAAAACAAGTGACCCTTTAAAAAATTTTTAAGGTTTACATAAGTAAACCTTAAAGAATAACAGTATTTTAGGTTATCCGTAATAGTTGTTGATTTATCTGTTTAGAAGTACGAATCTTGTTCGTTTATGTTTATTGAAATTTTGTTGTGGATTAGAGTTTCTTCATGACTCATGTGATAAGTGTAAGAGTGACTAGACGATAAAAAAAATGTGTCACTTTTAATACTCGAGTTACTCTTAGATCAGGCATCTGTAGCAGGCTAAAGAACTCGATAAAATAATTACAAGACCGTATGCTATAACGGCAAAGTTTTCGACCTCACTTGGAAATACGGCCTGCGCTGGTTATGTCGAATGGGGTTTTAAAGTTTACGTAAAAATATTCATATTAAAACTGAAGAATAAAAAACATTGGCCATATAGAATTAAAAATAAAGATAAGGAATAAAAAAGCAACTACTTGGTTATACGTATACTTAATAAATATAAACGTAGGATTTTTACAAAATCCAACTGATCTTTCACTCGACTTATATTAGTATTTTAGATTAACTGGTATTTTAATTACGCTTATTTATGAATTATACAATTGAATACAGGAGAAAAAGCCGCATCGAACTGATGAGAATATCAGCAGCAGTGATGGGAATTGAATTTTCATATGCCGGCGAGACTGCGTTCGTGTCTCCAACACTGCTGCAGATCGGTGTGCCGCATCATCAGATGACTATGGTGTGGGCACTGTCACCACTCATCGGTTTCTTCATGACTCCGCTCTTGGGCTCTTTGAGCGACAGATGCAAGTCTAGATTCGGGAGACGGAGACCATTCATTGTACTGATGTCTTTTGGAGTGTTATTAGGTGATATTTTTGATATAATCTACTTCTTAGAATTTGGAAGGATTAGGGAAAAATATCTATAATATTCACAATATCATACTGTATCTAGTTACACTTATGAAACTTGAATTCTATATTTAACTTTACTGTTATAATAAAATATTTATTCTCCTACGAAAAAATTAAAAATATGATACATATTATAATATATAATATGATATAATATACAAATTGTGACATAATTTTTTAATCATGTAATATGAAGGGTCAATATATATTATTGTTTGCCATTGTAAGTTGCATAAAAAATTATATTATAATTAAATATATCTATTTAATTATAAATAATAACTAAAAAGAATTTTAATTTATATACGTTTCTGTCAATTAGTATTAGACTTCAATGATATGCTAATTTTATTCATCTGAGGATTCTATGCTTTCTTTAAACTCTAATAGCCAGTTTTTATTAATATTTTATTTTTTTAAAGTTGGGTTCGTGTTTATTACTTAGTACTGAAAATAAAGAACAACTTATGATCAATCTAATATAGAGTTTTACTTCATTCATTCAATGTAATCTTACTTATTTATTTTGGTACATATAAAGCTTTTTTAGCTTTCAATTTAGATATAAATACTTCACAAAATGTTTAACTTATTTCTATATTTCAGGTCTTATTTTAGTACCAAACGGTGAAGCAATAGGCTATGCACTCGGCGATGAACGTCCAATCAACCGAACTGAAATACCTTCAGCGTTGGGACCAAGAAGCTCAGTCCTAGAGAATCAGGGGTCCAATTACCACCCATGGGGTGTATTATTTACTGTACTCGGCACTGTCTTTTTAGATTTCGACGCTGACGCATGCCAGAGCCCTGCCCGCGCTTATCTCCTTGATGTGACAGTACCAGGTTAGATATATATATTTATAGTTATTATTTATTTATTCTAAAGTGTTCCCGTTTGCAAACACTCAATCTGATGTTTTCAATACAGTTTTTATTATTTGTACGAGGCTATATACAAAGGCTTTATTATATAGTTTCGTCGTAATAACCCATTTATATTTCACTTCTGGGAAGTGTAATCTCTCCATAAGAGAAAGATAATCCAACCACTACTACACTAGCAAGACCTTTAAAGTTTAAAGGACTAGTTTTAAAGACGCAAGCTGAAGTATAGAGACAATAGTCTAGCTACGTAGCTCGTAGAATTAATAACCGGTGGAGAAGAAAGTTTCTTGAACGGCGATCTAATACTGGCAAACACAGTGTTGGACGATCCCCAGATGGATGCAAATGGTTCAAGACCGTTCTTTATGGCAGCTCATAGGGAAAGTCTATGTTTTCCTTATAGAATGCCTTAGAATATATTGTAGGTTTAGCAGTGAACAATTAACGGCTGAAATAAAAATAATGATAATGACTAGAATAAGTTTACATCAAGTTCTCTATCCTGGTGTAATCGGGGTTTATTCTACTTGATACGACTTTCGGAGGTAAAAAGGATAGATTGTATTCTTATACTTATAAAGAATAGTTTTATCGGAGGTTTTTTCGATGTTTGAGTTGGGATTAGTTCTTGGAATTCCAGGACTGCTATCAAACATTGTTCTTACGATTGAACTGTCATTGCACAATCTAAATAAATAATAATAAATTGCCGAATGTATGTTAACGCATCACTTGAAAATGCATCTATTTGTTTAATTCTTTTTTGTTGTACTTATAATTATAACGAGGACAAGGTGTTGTATGAAAGAAAATATTTGAAAATCGTACAGAAATAAAAAAATAGGTTCTCGTACAATGGCAGGATAGGCAGCTAATATTTCAATATATATATCTTATTGCTATCTGAAAACTGAATAAAACGTAGACAACGTGAAATGTTCGAACACGGATAGTCGGCGTTATCTTTATTGCATTATTATTGTTAGAAGTTTGAGTACTTGAATGAAACTGTTTCTTAAAATAGAACACGTATTTATGATTAAATGAAAGGAGCAAAAATAGATTATATTCACAACTCATTGGTGACAATACCAATGAGTAACATGTAAATATGTAAACATGTAGTATGCAGGTAAACACTTCTCCACCTTGTCACTTCAATCATTTATTATTAGATTATCTTATAGAAATATATTTAAAATCGTGAGTAATTTTATTCCGACGAAGTATTAAATCGTTTATATAATATAATCATTAAAACGATTAAACGTCAGTGATCGTCAAAGGCATAAAATGGGATAAATTAATGTAATTAATTCAGTACATTAATAATTTAAAATTGAAGGGACAGATAACAGATGAAATTCATTATGAAAGTTCTCTCTCGAGTGAATCGCATCCTTGATAAGTTGTTTATTTCTTGCATCTGCAGGCCTTCTAATTTAATTATATATGTACAAGTAAGTAATTAGGATATTAAAAATAAAATAACCAATAATTTATGTCACTAATAACATTTATTCATTGGTATTTATTCTTACATCTTACATTCGAACATCTGGAGCCACACCTTAACTACCCAGACCTGAGCCAAAAAAGACCTTAATTGGCTCGTCCGGAAATCGATCCCCCCCCCTCACCTCATTAACGCAAAGCGATATGCTTAAGTAGCAGTAAGGGATAATGAAAAGACAGGTCAGTTAGCCTATCGTGATGAATACACCTGAAATTCAGCACGATAGTTTCCAGGGGGACCAAGTGAAGGTCGACCTGACAGAATATATTGCTAGCAATGGGACTATGTAGTTCGCCTTGTTAACAATCCCTCCATCTCAGCAGTCATATGTTAGTAAATTAAAGATAGAAGCAGAACTCCGTATTATTAGATCGTATGTCACCCTCTTCGCAAACGATATGTGGAGATAGAAAAGAGGAACATCATTTTCCCTCTATATTTATAGTAAAACAGCGATACGAGGTATTTTGTAGATTATTGTACACCTGTCATCATCCTGATAATGTAGTGTTTCTTGTGGTATACAAAAGCAGTTAAATTAAATACCTTATATATATAATCTATACTAGATTAAGGATGGTACCTGCGATCCTAGTACATATGATACCCAACGACAGTAATATGGTTATAGTTAAAACACAATTATGAGAATTTAGGATTTCATAGATCGTTATTATAATTTAGGATCTTACTTCATCTAAAGTAATATTATTAAAAGAAAAGGTTTTTTTTTTTCTAATGATTAATCTCAAAAAATAATTTTAATAAATTAAAATACTCGATAATAAAGTAACTTTATAAAGTTGTTAAATTTTGTTAAATCTGTTTAAAATATATTACAAATTCAATTATATTAAAAAAAATGCGAAACCGAGACGAGTCATTTGTATTTAATAAATAAAACTCGTGCTACTTGTGAACTTTATTGTTCTGGTACTATATTATATTTATTTACACAATCACGTTCATAAGCTACTGTTTCTTTACTATCCTTAACCTAGTTTATTAATTATTTTAAATAAATATTTGTGCTTGGGTGTAAACGTAATTTAGCATGTGACTTGAAGTACATACGTTGTGTTCATAGTGACGAACGAACAACAAACTTTATCTACCATGTCTGACCGTGATTGACTTATCTCGATATCAACATTTATTTTCAGTTTTTCACAAACACGAGGTGTGATCTCTAGTTAGAGTTTCATACCACTAAAGGCGCCAAACAGAATATCTAGTTATGCGATTATTATTTATTTTTCGTAAAATATTATTAACAGGTCGCATAATAATTAATAAAAATAAAAGGAAAAAGTATTGTAGATATGTAATTATCTATCTATTATATTTATTTCCTTATTATATATTTATTATATTATATTTATTATACGCGTATAATAATACTTTATTACGTAGGTATGCAGGTTTGAAGATCGTCCCAAGGCCCAGTAATTGAGGAAAATAATTCAATTTCAGAAATGAAATTCTGAATCAGATCGAAATCAAATTATAATATGAAATTATTTTTTAATATATTTATACGCGTACTAAGTCGATCACATGAACACGTGGTTTGTATAAAAAATTCATATTCGGAAAATTACTTTTACGACTTATTTTTTTTCATTAAGTACTTGATTGAGTTTCCATACAACCTATAATAATAAACATATTGATTGTGATGGAGTAAGAATACAACCTCTCTTTTTATGTAAATAATTTTGTAAATTATAGTCATAACACAATTGGTTTTTGCATGAGTAGAAATTTTATAACTGCCGAGCCTCAAAAATCAACGTAGTGACAGTAATGTAATATCCTTCTCTTCAAATAGTGACATACTGTAATAAATAATAGTGTTGATTTGATACACATATATTAATATTACAAAAGAAGAAAGATTTGATTGTTTGTTTGCAATGGATAAACTAAAAATTACTCAAGCGATTAAAAAAATTTTCACCTAAATAAAAACTACATTATGAGTGAGTAACATAGATTATAAAAAAGGCTATTCTCTATTTTATTTATTTCTGTATATTTATATTCAAAGGTTCTATTTATTCATGCGAAGTCGTTAGTAGTTTATAAAATAATTTGATTGTTTTTTACGACTTTTCTAACCGCAGATAATTTGACGACATACCTTACGAAAAGTGTCTGAATACATGAATGAACAACTTTCGCCTGACATTCGTGTATATAATGTCATGAAATAGTAGAAATGATGTGTACCTACATCTTTTTAATATTTACATATTTGCTCGCCCACGATTCAAATTCCATTTAATCCTTATATCATCAGTAGCTCGCCTTATCATGATTGCTGCTTGACATAGTAGGACATGTTTAATAAACTCATTAAATATGTTGTTGTTGTGTATTTTTTATTTTCAGAGGATCATGCAAAAGGATTGAGTACATTCACAGTAATGGCTGGCCTTGGAGGGTTTATGGGTTATGCACTTGGCGGGATCAATTGGGATGAAACCAGATTAGGTAAACTGTTAATTTTTTTTTATTTATGTGGCGTTGTGAAATGAAATTCATAAATAAAATAGATCAATATTTTATTTCGTAACAATTACCTTAAATCTTGAATATACATTTTTTCAACTTTTTTTATTTAAAACATAAGATACAATTGATTTGGTAACAATCTCGTATTATAAGTTGCTTTTTTCTAACATAGCTCCTATGTTAGAAAAATGGGCACACAAGCATGCGGCTCGCCTGATGGTAAATGATTATTGCCTCCCATAGGCAATATTAGAAAAATTGCAGATTTGTTGCAAAAAGAGAAATTAGAATTTACAGTATCCAATAATTTGTAATATGTCTTGCCGGGTTTACATATTGCGGAAAATAAAATTAACTGTTTTATAATATTTAGCCAGTGTGCTTTAGGCTTTTCTCTAGTTTTTTTTATTAAATAATTGTCAATAGGAAAGTAGGAGAACACTAATTACATACTTTGTTTTTGTTTTAATATTCTGTACTAATGTTATATAAGACTACAAGTACTACTGTACTATATTAAAACAAAAAAAAAAAATAACTAAAAGGTTACATACGCTCATAAATATTGCCAGTTTAGTTAAAAAAATATTACATTTAAATTTCAAGTTGATATAAGTTCTATAATTTCGTATTAGTGATTAAAAAATAGAACGTTTGAAATTCGAACGTATATTTATTGCAACGCGATGTGTAAAAATAAATATCATTAATTTTAAACCAATTTTGATGGTTTCTTAATCGAAGTAGTTTACTTGTGTTCATTCTATATTTGCAAAGGCGGCTTTAAGTACCTATTGTTTCATATTTATCTATTAAAAAAAACACATATGATTCAAATAATAAAATATCCTGACAAATATAATCCCTAACGGAATAGTTAAAAGAATTTTGTTCATTGTCGTCATGGTGAATGTAGCACTGGACATATCCACATTTTGGCGAGCACATTACAATGCAACGTGGGAGGATGCTTTTTAATAGGTAATAATATAATGAGAATCGTCCCGTCTGTGCTTTGGTGGCACCAGTGGGGGATAATAGGTGCACTGAAAGTAGGTCAGTTGGCCCATCGTAATGAATTCGTTAAAGGGTTAACCACCACGATTACCAAGAGGACCACATGGTAGTTGACTTGGTATGGTATATTGCTAGCAATGGGTATTTAGCCTCTATTAGGTTTTTTTAAAAGACTATAACATGGAGTTTTTCAAAAAGAAGTAACTATGGCTCACTACACGTTTTGGGAAACTGTAAGTGTGGTGAGTAATTTTCAAATAAATAAATAAATAAATAGTTTTCTTCGGGGTCGGCAACGCGCACGTAATACCCCTTATATTGCAAGCATTCATAGGCTACGGTAACCGTTTACCATCAGGTAGGCCGTATGCTTGTTTGTCCAGTTTAAAGTATGTACAATAAATATTGTGTTGTAACAATACGATACAATCTCTTTCCTCTACGTGGGTGGGAAGAGATTGTTCGTACTAGAGATTATTAGATAGTTGATAGACCTTATATTTACTTAACGATGGATCTTAATAATTTTACACATCTGTTTTGCAGGAGAATTATTCGGTGGACACGTAAGGGCAGTATTTTCGCTTATAACGATCATATTCATAGTATGCGTGACTGCAACCGTGACGAGTTTCAAGGAGATCCCATTGAATCAATTGAACGAACAGGATGAGTTCAGGAAACTTGCCCAGGATGAACGCGACCAGGAGAGCTTCGACACGGAAGATCCGGGTCTCGAGAAAAATAACCTGAAGAAGGACAATACAACATATGGATCTTTCAATCGGCAAGAGGTAGGTTTTTTATGCAATTGAGAATGTCAAGTAAACTTTTGGCCCCTGATGAAAAGTAGTATCGTCGCCTTAAATAACAAATTCTATAGCCCTGTACGTACATAAATATTTTAGGCGAGGGTAGACTTAGCTCTAAAAGAGATCTCTTCCGGTCAAATCAATACTGTTGGAAAACATGTCACATTGGCAGCTAAAGTGCACGAGTTTTGTATGAACAACTATGAATATTCCGAATAACTATTAATACTAGATAATACGTTTACCAGAGGGAGACTTTGTACAAAAGTTGATTACTTGAGTATCTCTGTCCCATTCGTGTTTCTACAGTGAATCAGTTCTGTTTGCATGACTGTGTTTCGATTTGAAGGATGGGATATGACGTGAATTTACAGGGTACAGAGGAATAACACCTGAGTTCTCAGGAATGGCAACGCATGGAGGTATCATGGGTGAAACAGTATACTCTGTTATGTCCATGGTACTGCTCATGTCTATAGACGACGGTTACTACTTTCCATCAGGTGGGCCGTCAGGTTGTTTGCCACTCTAAGTTGTATAAACATTAGCTACAAATAGACAGTTAAATAAAATATTAATATATATTAAAATATTACATAAATACATATACTACAAATAAATATAATACCTACCTGCTAATAAATGTTAAAATAAATGAATAAACTACCTACATTAGAAATTTAGTTTAATGATTTTAAGATTTAACAGTTATACTAAGTTGTACTATAATATTTATGTAAACTATTAATTGTGATTTTATTTTCATAACACTAACAAAAATTACAAATACCAGACAATCGGCATGAACGTCACAGAGGGAGCCCATGGAGGGAAGCCACTCTCACTCCAACACTATCTCAAGTCGATCGTTCTAATGCCAAATTCTTTGCGCATCGTGTGCCTCACGAACTTATTTTGCTGGATGGCCCACGTCTGCTACTCTCTCTATTTCACCGACTTCGTCGGAGAAGCTGTATTCGGTGGAAATCCTGCGGTGAGTACTGTCGTTTATTCACTTTTTTAGTAATCCCTTTAATTTTAAGTGTAAAAGTTTATATAGACACGTTACGCTTATAGATAGAGAGATAAACTCTATTTGCGTCAAGAGATACACAAAAGAGTATGATATACATAAAAAATTGTATATAGTATAATGTGTGAAATGAAAATATAGCATGTGTACCACATCGATGCAAAGGCAATATCTCAGCGACTTGTTTGCATAATAAGCTAACCAGAGGGAGACTTTGTACAAAAGTCGATTGCTTGGGTACCTCTGTCCCATTCGTGTTTCAACCGTGAAGCAGTTGTGTTTGCATGGCTGTGTTTCGGTTTGAAGGGTGGGATATGGCGTAAATTTACTGGGTACAGAGGAATAACACCTGAGCCCTCATGAAATGTCAGGGCAGGGGGGGAACATGGGCGAAACAGTATACACTGTTATGTCCATGGTGCTGCTCATGTCTATAGGCGACGATTACCACTTTCCATCAGGTGGGCCGTCAGCCTGTTTGTCATTCTAAGTTGTATAAAAAAACTCATTTTCAGTTACTGCCTGCTTACATAGTAATAACTCTCGTCAAATTACGTAGTTCTGTCTAGCCCACGAACTAAGCAGAGCTTGTAGTAGATAATTAATAAACATGGTTAAACTATTTTTGTTTGTAAATTTATACATATAACACATGGAAAACGCCCGGGTTAATACAAACAGTCATAGTTATGAATGGAAATGTTTATGTGGGGTTCGAACTCGTGGCCATAGTAAGATAACGCAGTATGTTATCGCCGCTGCACCATCAAGGTTGACATCGAAATGTTTGTAACATAATAACGTTTAAAAAACTGAATGGATTTTAAATTTGGTACAAAAATGTATATTAACACATTTTATTTTATATCTTGCGAAATTCATAATTTATAGTTGGTAGTACGCACTCTTTAACTTTTGACTCTTAGTCCTCGTTCCTAACAATCTCCTCCTTCTAAAAAAAACTAAATAAAATAATCTATATAACTATGAATAAATGAATGTACGTATAAATGAAATTTATTGCTAAAAATGTGATACAACAAGGTGATATGGTAATATTACAAAAGTTGATTTCACACATTTTATCATTACTAACATGCAACAGTCATTTCAAATTTATGACAAAATGAATCTTTATATTAAAATTAATTCTAAATTGATAGTATTTTTTACGTACATTATTTGTACCTAATAAACAATTTTTAACTCATTTCCGTCAAGTGACCGCGTAAAAAACGCGTTCTCTTCATGTAAATAAAGGCTTCCTTTATTATATTCTGAACTGTCAATTTTAATAAAAATGTAACGAAAAAGGAATTTTATATTGTGTTGAAACGATTTATTACGCCTATTGTATATTGAAAGATCACATATACTTATTTACCGTTCCGTTCCATGCCACGGTCATTTATAAGACAATGGGTAAAAGAATCATACATTTTACATTTATTAGATGTATTGAAACGGTTATTATATTAAATTTATTTTCCCATTTTATCAATTTCCAATCACATAGAAATATCGTTTCGGGTTATTTCATTTAAAAAAGAGGTTTTTATTTGTATACTACTGTATTTTTACTACCTGTTTCCTGCAGCTTTGTTCGCGTTCATCAGTATTAAAAAATATCTGGTATATCCAAACTTAACAGTGTGGACTTAATTTATCTGTGTACCAAATTTGTTCTGTAGTTTTTGCATGAGAGTAACAAACATTCATGCATACTCACAAACATTCGTGTTTATAATAATAGTGAGAGTCGTATGTTACGCGATTAGTAATTCTAAACAGTTTTTTTTGCATCTGATAAATTTAGGATTTAAGATATTGTTCTACAACAAAATACCAACTTTCATCATGGCAAAATCAGTTTTTTTTAATTTAAAAATTAAACTATTGAATTTAATAATATTTGTATGGGAACAATCTGAAAGTTTTAGATAAAATAAATCATTTGGATTATAAACGACGAAGTTATGAGGTAACTAACATAAGAAAAAATATAAATTATTTGAGAATCTCCTTCTTTTTTAAAGTCGATTCAAAGTGGATGTTTATTTTTTTTTATGTTTTTATAAATCACTGAATGAATATTTTTCATGACGTAAATTATGCTTTAAAAATTAATAACCTTGAATTGAATTGAAATATAATTCTGTCATTTAATTAATTGGAAATTATCTACGTCTAATTTAGATTGTTTTTCTCAGCATTTTTGATATTTATTAATAAGAAAACAACAGTTATGATTATACAAATATTGTGGATACGATACATATCTATAGACGTCTCTCTGTAAACGATTTATATATATATATAGTTGTCAGCATGTCTTAATTCTTAGTGTAAAGGAAATAATGATGAAAAAATTTAATTTCCTTTTATTATTCTCATTTTTTCAGCCGTATCGTATCAGCCGTTAACTATCCACTGTTGAACTAGTTCTTCTTGTTGGAAGTAGTTGTCGATTTATATATATATATATATATATATATATATATATATATATATATATATATATATATATATATATATATATATAAACACAGAAGCAGGAAGGGCATTAAATACCTTAGCAGTTGCCATTAGAAACGAAGAGGCGAGTCGCTTCATGCGGATGCGGATCATTTATGGAATTTCTGGAAATGTAGTAATATTGATACATTGAAAATTAAGTTTTAATAACGATCAATAATGTGCGCACAGTGCGCGATACTTTATTATTTTTAAATGGCTTCCGACGAAAAGAAGGAGGCCATTAATTCTTTTAAAGTTTTTTTTTTTTTTTTAATATGTGGCTTGTTTATAAATCGCCATATCTTAAGTGATTTTTATAATTTTTTTGGCAATTGATGCACGCAACATCTCATCGTTTGTTTACGACTGAAGTCACATTTTTGCAGAGCAAAATGTCTTTGTTAACAATATATTTGTTTAGAGATAATAACCATATTGAAACAAATATTTTGAGGTTTGAAAATATAATCTCTGCCTTTGGGCGAATGGCTAAATAATATAAAATTTTTAGAATCATAATTACACAGCATAGATATATGAATTATCGTGTTTTGTTGGGTATATAAATAACTATTTATCAAAGATATATGCAATAATGTTTATACATATATAAGTAGATAGACCTACTTGTAACAATATTTATGAATAGAGATATTTTTATACCTATAGAGATATTTAGATAAACATGACATGACATTATCTACCAAATCAACAATATAGATATTGAATTAAGATTGAGTACATTCACTTGTCTTGACAAGATAGCAATTTGGTTTTATTATTACAATGGAGCCGGCAGACAGAAGGTAATAAATAATGTTGATACCTATTGGTGTCTATCTAATGTTTATAAAAAATAATATTTTATTTTGCAACTTGTAATGGTAAACAAGCTAACGGCCCACCTGATGGAAAGTTGTAACCTGTCGCCTACAGTTATGAATAAAAAGAATATAAAAAGACGTAATAACAAGACAAAACTATGCCTGCTTAACTAATTAAAGTTTCATATTCACCATACGGGAAAATTCCAAAAAGTCGCTTATAAACTGACAGATCCTAAGAAATCAAATATAACGCACCCACACACACACATCATTCCAGGGAAGGTCGTAAGGTCATTAAGCTGCTTGTATTAAATATTTATTAATTATTCTTAAAAAGGTACGTATATATTTGTGTAGTATATCTATACTAATATTATAAAGAGATAAGGTTTGTGAGTTTAGATGTTTGTGGTTATCTCCGGTACTACTGATGCGATTTCGAAAGTTCTTTCGTTATTATAAAGGTAAATTCCCGAGTACTGTAATAGACTACTTTTTATATTAAAAATATATATTTTTCAATAATTAATCACAGTAAATGTAATTGAATTCGGAAAAAAATTCTGTAATATTACATGCACTGTCTGAATAGTTTGAAATAAAGGAATACAATCTGTAGCAAAAATATTCATTACTTTTAGCTTTACAAAAAAGTCCGCGATACCATATATCTAAGTTTAATATTTCAACTAAAAAGAAGTTTTTATGTTAAAAATAAAATAAATTTTACAAGCCGTTCATTATAAAATCTTAGAGAATAATAAAATAATAATTTATTTGGATTACTAATAACAACAGACATACACAGTAAAAAGATAAAATAATGTATACACAAAAAAAGCAATATAATAAAAGCAACAATTTTTTTTCTTTCATGCGTGCCATAAAGGTTACAACTCAGTTTATTATTTAATAATGTGTTTATTGGGACCATATTTTTTTTATATAAAATTACAATTGTAGGGTAGTGTACGATAACAGCCACATTAATCTTAGAGAATATTAGTGCAATACTTTAATTAATAATAATTCAGAAACGCCAAATACTAGCCCTATTTAAATATGTTGAATAGTTTAAAAGGTACATTTACAAACATTGCACCCATGATGATGAAGCCGGAGCAGGTCACGAATATAGGTACTGGGGGAAAAGGGATTGTTAGTAATGGAGATTGAGAATTCAATTGCTAGCAATATACCCAACCAGGTCGACCTCCTCGCGGTTCTACCTGGAAACTATCATCGTTAATTCCTGATGAATTCATCATGATGGGCTAACTGACCTGTTTTCATTCTCATCTATCGCCAAAAAAAAATATAGGTACTATAAAAATAAAGTATGTATGTAAAATTATAGCAACATATTACAACGATGTGAATTTTGGCTAATACAAATTTTGCAGGCGTCCGTTGGCAGCGAAAGTCGTAGTGAGTACGAAGCTGGAGTACGCTTTGGATGCTGGGGTATGGCTATGTATTCTCTATCCTGCGCATGCTACTCCACTGTCATCGAAAAACTCATCAAGAGGCTTGGGTAAGTGTATATTAAATGATATGTTATTCGCTGATTATGTAGTTTTGTATAGGTGAAAGAATTTTTAAAATCGGTTGTGTATTTTTTTACTTTATCCATTACAAACAAACATACAGAAAATCAAATCTTTCCTCTTTATAATATTAGTATATATATAAAAAAGTAGCCGCTCCTGTCTCAATTCTATCATAACCTTTGTCAATTTTATGGAACAAGACGCAATTAAAACTGCTGGGTACGTTTATCAATATAAATTTAATAAAACTCATCAACGACAGACAACTTGTATAAAAAATCCTGTGGGCAGGGGAAATAATGGATCGGAGCATAAGAAATAGCTATTACCGAATAAAACAGGTGGTACTCTGTTGTAATACGCATATATAGATTTATAAAAAAAACTGCAATTACATAACTTTGCTTTACCGTCTATTTATGGTCCTAAAGTAGGCCAAATAGTGTATAATTAATAAACTTCGATTTATTTAAATTATCCAAGATATTTTAAATTTCTAATTCTATGTCGAGACATAGAATTGGCCACCCGTTCCTTTCCCGTAAAAAGTGAACTTAACAGTTGCGCACCTGCCTGCCAAGTATGGCAACTACTGGCAACCCCCCTCTTTATGGGGGAGATCTATGTTCAGTGATGGATAGTTGACGGCTGATATTATGATGATACTAAACTTTGATTTAGACCTATATTATGATTCCTACATTATGTTTAAAAGTTTCGAAATTTCTTAAAAATAGCAATAATTTTCGAAAAAGTTTAATGCAGGAGAGTTCGGTATTAACAAATAGGTTTTGTAACATCAAAGGAAATAATTTTGTAATGACACGTTTAGTTTTCACATAAATGGTAAAAAAAATTATGTACTTACGTCATCTATATCTACTTATATGTGTACTGTTGGTAAATTATTTAGATTCGGATACAATTGGTTATGAGTCATGAAGTGGATAGTTCTATCTGTGGTTTTATCTCTACAACTTACGATACCATCCTTCAACTTGAATGTTTCACGTGCATAAACAATACTATTTACCTGTCCATATTAATAAGATCAGACGGCCCTTGACATTCAATCGCTTCCCGGCTGACACTTGACTGGCTTCTAACAGATTTAAAAATCAATATTTCTTACAATATATACATTATAATGAATGGACATGACAGATTTTGTTGAATATGCCACGTAATTTTTATAAAGACTTAGGACCCTTTATCCAATTTATTATATCTTTTAACAAAATAAGGAACAATATAGATGACTTTGTTATCACTGGTTACTATATTGTTTGCTACCTGAATATAATATCTATATATAGGTTGATGTTATATTTTTTTATAAAACATTTACATTACATATACCACAGATACGAGTATTGTCATGTGTTGTCACAATCATAGAAGCCGTTAACTGTCCATTGCTGAAAAAAGGCTTTCCCCTATCGGGAGAGTTTTGCCGATAGTTGCCACGCTTAGCAGGCGGGTTGGCAACGGCAATTAAGCTTTAATTATATAATCTATTAAGCCACATTAATGTATCTTCATATGTGTTGATTTAATCAAGCTATATATTTTCCAAAAAATAAATAACTAAAAAGTATTAGTAGTAATAAAGGACCTTCTTTATCTGAAATATTACGCGTATGCCAAATTTTATGATGATTGGTTGAGCCGTTAAGACGTCAAAATGTAATAAACTAACACATTTTTACATTTATAATACTAGTTGTTTCCGACGACATAGCTTTTGTGAAATAGTATATAAAGTATTCCAAGTATTCGTGCACCATATTCCATTCAAATCTGTTCAGTACTTTTTGTCTGAAAGAGAACTTCCACACACACGTTTATACCTAATATAACTAAGGATAATTATTACTTTTCAGAGCCAAACGCGTGTACGTGGGTGGGCTGTGCACGTACAGCTGCGGCATGTTTATACTGAGTATGGTGCGTGCCCGCGCCGCCGTCCTGCTATGCAGCTGGACAGCCGGCGTCATGTATTCCACACTCTTCACTATGCCCTACCTCCTTGTTGCGCACTATCATGCCACTGGAATGGTAAGTTTAGTGTCCACATACCACTCTATGGAAAGAGAAAGTTTTAAGGTCCATTTTCACCTAAATAAATTATTTAATATTTTAATTAATTACTGATCATATTCAATCTATATTAGCTGAACCCAAATCAGAAATTTTTTAACATGTGTGCAAATTGATGATTCCATGACCAAAGTTAGTCTTTGCATACCACCAGAGGGAGACTTTGTACAAAAGTCGATTGTTTGGGTACCACTGTCCCATTCGTGTTTCAACCGTGAAGCAGTTGTGTTTGCATAGCTGTGTTTCGGTTTGAAGGGTGAGATATGGCGTGAATTTACTGGATACAGAGGAATAACATCTGAGTCCTTAGGAATGGCAACGCAAGGAGGGTATCATGGGCGAAACAGTATACTCTGTTATGTCCACGGTACTGCTCATGTCTATAGGCGACGGTTACCACTTTCCATCAGGTGGGTCGATAGCTTGTTTGCCATTCTAAGTTGTATAAAAAAAACCATGATGTTGAAGACAACGGTATTACTCTATTACCAAATATTACAATTATACAGAAAACAATATAAAGATAAATATGATGAAAGTATATAAGTATTTTATTTATTATTATTTCAGCCGTTAACTGTCCGCTTCTTAACATAAACCTTCCCCGTAAGGGGAGTTTTGCCAGTAGTTGCCACGCTTGGCAGGCGGCTTAGCAACCGCAGTTTGGGTTTTAGAGATGTTTTAAGAGAGACGCCGCTGCCCATCCCTCGCCCTTAATTAAAATTATACAATATGAACGTATATGAATCAATATATTGAACGTATGTAGTATTTTTTTTATAGGTGATAATGAAATAGTAACCCCACCCGCGCTATCGGTATACACCGGCGGGATACCAGTGAAGGATGATAGATGAGGATGAAGCAGGTCAGTTAGCCCATCGTGATGAATTGAACGAGAATTGTTCACGATGGAACAGGGGGAAGCACGTGGAGGTTGACCTGATAGGCATATTGCTTGCAATGGGGCTGTCAAACTCCATTGCTAACAATTCCTTCCCCCTCATATGTAGTATTTGCTTATATAGTAAATACAACAGGATTCAAATCATTACTTTTATGGCCTACATAAGAGGGATATCTCTTGCGAAGAGATTGCATTGCTAATTAATTATCTTTGCAGATGGAAACCATAAAAATAAGGAGAATAAAAATTTATTCTTATCCCGAAATATAATATCTCAGAATTTTCCGGCAAAAGTTACGATGGTTAGCCACAAAACAGCTGTGCTATATTTTGAAGATTTACACTACAATTCACAATTAATTTGACTATCGCTACACCTACATTTTTACTTCATCTGTAAGTTTTGGTTATGATAAGTTAAATGAAATAAATTTTTAACACTAAAATAAGTTTCTATGAATGGTAACACATTTAATCCAGGTCACTACGCCGTTAACTTAATGAAATGATGCTATCATCAATCTTACTTATTTACAAAATACTAAATGTAAATCACTCGAAGATCCGCTAACGAAATTCGACTTTGACTTAACAGAATAGCACTACAGATCTGTTTTTTTTTTCTGTTCTGAGCTCTTAGATAATCGAACGAATCGTAAATTATGATAATCGTCCCAACGACATCTTTTATAAATCCTACCATCATGAAGAATGGATTTGTTTCGGTTTAATGGCGTTGTACTGTCCCAACGACACGTAATATATACTCTGTTATGTCCACGGTAAAGATCTGATCAGACCATCACCTTGTTTGCCATTTTAAGTTGTATAAAAAAAATTTAAACCCCAAAGATCTGACAGACAGTAAAAATTTTGTGCCAAAATAAAAGATATGGTTGACTCTTCGGTGAAAAAAACACCTATTACAAATCTAATTAGGTCCTGTGACTGCAGTAGACTTTCCCCTTTTACGCTAGATTCGGATATTCTTCTCAAAATATGAGAGTATTGAGTGTTACCACAATATAAAATAGTTCTATTTCATTATTATGAGGGTTGTTACCCTCTTCATTTCCTATGGGTGTTGTAAGACGTGACTAAGGGAATTTAGTGTTCGAGAGATGGACAGCAGCGTCTCTTTTAAAACATCACCAAAGTCTAATTGTGGTTGCCAATCCGCCTGCCAAGCGTAGCGACTACTAGCAAAACCTCCCGTTTAAGGGAGGTCTATATTTATCAGTGGACAGTTAACATCTAATACGAGTATAATTATAATAATAATAAAATTTCATAATAATGTTACCTTCACTAACATAGTAACAGTTCAAATACCTACAACTATCATTATTCATCATGAATATAGTTCCCATCAAGATATTATCTAAATTAAAACCAAATATCAAGGTATTTTTATAGCTTATATTGAAATGGTAAACCTGTCTATGTTCTCGATTTACATTTGCGATGTACTAGTAAGAGATGGATTTAGATTAGTTGACTCATCATAGTGAATTGATGTTTCTAGAGGGGTCTTTTTTTAATAAACGGGAAAAGGTTACCCCGCCCGCGCTATCGGGATACCTTAGCGGGGTACTAGTGAGGAATGATAGGTGAGAATGAACAGATGAGTTCGCCCATCGTAAAGAATTTATCAAAAATTGACCACCATGGTTTCCAGGGGGAACCGCGTGGAGGTTTAAAGAGGGCTACGTAAAATCAACCTGTCGTTATTAGAAGTGAATTACTTATAATTAACAGTCTATCTCCCTAACATCAAAGTATTTAGTTGTAATGAAAGAATTTATAAATAAAATTGCGCATCGTGTAAGTACATAGATTTCCTTGTATGGATCTTATCACGTGGCAAGTACGCATGTTATGATCCTTCGTCTAATAAAGTTTGTTAGACATTTATTTAATATTTATAGATACATATTAAAAGGCAATGAGCACGTGTGTTACAAACGTCTATAGGCTATGGTAATCGTTTATCGTCAGATAGGCTTGTTGCTTGTTGGTTGCCTTAATATAAAAACTACTCTGAATTTAGTCATAACGTTAATTGGCTTTTTTATGATAACGGAATGGTAATCATACCTACGCTATCGGTATACGTTACCGGGGCACCAGTGAGGGGTTATAGGAGAGGATAAAAATAAGTTAGTTGGCCCATCATGACTTATTGATGAATTTACAAAATGGCTTCCTGAGGGGACCGTTTGGTGGACGCCCTGATAGGATATATAGTTAGTAAAGGAGCCAAAGGGAGAAGAATTGTTAGTAATGGGGGCGTTAACACCCATTGCTTCCTCCACGCGGTTCCCCCTGGAAACCTTCGTGATTAATTCTGTTTGAATACGTCACAGTGGGCTAACTGAGCTGGTTTTTCACAACCTATGTATATAACCACCACTCACTGGTACCCCATCAGTATATACCGATAGCGCAGGCGGCGTTACCATTCCATTACCATCCCTTTAATAATGGGCCGCTGCTCCCCGTTACTGGTATCAGTATCAATGGCTTTTCTGCCTTTATTAGGTAACTGTTTATAAAATTTAAGACATTTTTTTTACAGTGGGATAGTTCAGGCGGCAGCGTTGCGGTGCGAGGTATCGGCACCGACGTAGCCGTGGTGAGCAGCTGTGTGTTCGTGGCACAGCCACTGGTGTCAGTAGCAGCGGGGGCTGCAGTCCGAGCTGCTGGTACCACCACCGCTGTCGTCGCTGTAGCCGCTGGACTCGCCGCCGCTGCAGCGCTCACTGCTACAAAAATCACTTATTTAGATCTATAAGTCAAGTGTAAGAAGATTACCTATTAGATGGAGCGATAACATCAATTGATGCGTACCTTATGTCAGTTCATGAGGGAGGCCTATCTACCGTAGTAGCAATAATGACCTAGCTAGTGGTGTTAGTAGCGACGGGATCTGCAGTCCGGGTTGCTGGTACCACCGCTGGACTCACCGCCATTGTAGTACTTATTGCTATCAAAATTATTTATTTAAATCTATAATTCAAGTATAAGATGAATATCCGTAAATTATCTCAAATGTGTTGCAGGGAATCACTTGAGGTAGGTGGTTGAGGATCCTACAATTGTAGTAGTCTGTGAGGGAGGTTTATGTTGAAAATGTATCTAACAACTGAAATGATGATGAGCAAAAAAGAATGAAGATGTCGTTAGGGGCTACCTTAGACGAACATATGTTGGCCAAAGAGACGACAGGCTAAAGAAGCTCCAAATTAAAAGTACACGTAACCGGCGAGCGTGTGTGAAGAGATTGATGAATGTGTAGGAAGCGAAAGAGGCTTGTTTCAATCGAAGTATTTGGCATTCCATTGTTTCTGCCTACCCTAATAAGAGACAGACGTGGTAGATATGCATGCATGTATGTATGTAATGACAATAATGATAAGTTCATTTTAGAAAACAATGGATAGAATATAAAATAAATAGAAAAAGTAAACAAAAATCTGGAATTTGTCCAATAATTTAGGTGTTATTTGTAAATAACACGTAAATTATAAAAATTTTTAATTATTAATAATTTTTAATATAATTTTATAATATAAAAGGTTATACTAGAAATGATTATTAAAGTGAAAGTGGCGCTCTCTATCGTGAAGAATTTATACATCACATTAATTACGCACTTAGGAAAAAATATGATATCCAACAGTAGTGTCGAAGAAAAAAGAAATTACTTGAGATTATATAACACTAATGTTATACGTATATGTACTAGGAAAATTCTTTTCAAATATTAAAATAACGAACATATTGTAAATGATCTCTAACTTGGTTTTTATTAATTTATAAGGTTTTATCTATTGTGATTTGTATTATCAACTTCTGTTCCACTACTTTATGTCATACATATCACTATTTCACCATACACATTGCTTTAGCTGCAACAATACTGTATAGTTTATAAAGCGTGGCATCTAGACATAAAATTAAAATTAGAGGCCAATATTCTGAACTGAGAAAATTATTCTTTGTCTTTTTATTTTGTTACTAAAAGTAATTTCCTTTTATATTTTTACTGTAACACTTTTTTAGTACATTAAATTATTGTTTTACCTGTAATTAAAATTGACAGATCAATGTTTTAATACTATATCTAAATAAAAACAAATCTACAGACAAGCATGCATGGTTATTTATTAGCCTATGGAATTTACTAGTTTTATATTTATATATTTAATTTAAATTAATTTACATAAACATATATTGAGATTACATATAATGCTCAATAATAACCAAAGTAACCAAAATTTAATTTTTGTTTCTAATTCTTCGTTATTTACATATTAAGTAGCATGTAGATTAAATCTTTAACAGATTTGATCGAATACAAAAACATATACAATTATAAATTACATTACTATATTGAATAATGGAAGACAGGAGTGACATATATACATAATATGTTTATTGAATATTTATATATTAATTTATATTAATAATTAATAATTAAGTACAATAGAGTCTAATTGATTCTAGCGTAATTCCGATACTGATTTCATAAAATTCATGTCGAAGTGTCTTCAAAAGATTCACATAAAAGATATTGCCAATGATATTTTATTTATGATATCTATATTAGTAGGATAATAAGATAATAATAATAAGATACTATTTATCATGGGAGTGCCTCACACAAAATCCTTTTGAAAGCACTTCCTTGTTTCATTAATTTACTATTAATGAATAACTTTTATAACATCAGAGCGAAGGAAGTTTAGTAGTCAGAGACGCTTGATTTTCATATAAATTGAGTCTTACGTCGTCTATCTCTAATGTACTCGTATGTCTGTGGGTGTTATATTTGTTATAATAATTACTTACTAAGGAAATATTTAATTGACAATAAAACTGATAATAATTGGCATTTGTGTGAACATAATAGCGAAAATCATATGGAAAATGAATGTATTTTTCATAAGTATATCTTATTTATTTGTTTGTTATAAAAAGAGGACTTAATGCTATACAGCATTCTCTCCCAGTTAATCTTTGGCGTGATTATGCGGTGAACTAATTAAAATTGTTGTAGATAAACATATAAGTATTTTTTAATAGTGGTTTAAACGAGAAATAAAAATAAAAATAATTTTTGTATACAAAATGGTTTATGTAAGATTTTAGTAAAACTACGTTCATGTTAAAATTGATATTTTTTTTATTTAAAACTTAAATTTTTTAATTAAAGAAAATCGTATTTCCATACAAACTTATTATACATAAACGTCATAACGTTATATCTTTATACGATTCACATTAGTCACTCTGTATGGACGTTTATATTCTAGTCTCGACTTTAATGCAATAATAATGCATTTATTATTAAATTCTTATAATAATTATATTTTTTTAATGTGCACATTTTGTTAATTAAGTTTTTAAATTCGCAAGTTTCATTTGGCGATAATAAAAAACTAATGCTTAAAAGGATTGTTAAATTCACCATGTTACAAATAGATTTATGTAAACATGCGATTAACAAGATGTTAATTTATTCACTCACTTAACTGTTACTAATAATATGTCAAGATCTATTCACCGCAAATACGTGAGTAGATAATCTAATATATAATAATGTTATTTGCTACGATCGCTTGGAATAAAATAATTAAAGATTGTGTCCACAAAAGAAAACCGACTTCGATTCTGACAAAAACTGTTACTTTGATTTTAAAACTAAGCTATTGAACTAAATTTGATACAATTTTAAGTATATCCTATTTACAATAGTATATACTTTTAGATAAAAACAGAATTTTCTAAAGCGGTTTAGAACTGACAGAATTATGAGGTAACAAACATAAAAAGATACATCCGCAATTGAGAACTCCCTTCTTTTTGAAGTCGTTATAAAATATATAGTAATATTATTTGCGACGATAGCTTGAAATAGAAAAAACAAAGACCTAATAAGTTGTTTCATGTATACCATATACGAATATTTTATGATCAAAGTGACCTCCACTTAAGTATTAGCAATGTAGATATTAGAGAAAAGATAACATCTCTGTATTCAAATGTTACATTTTAATAATTATATTTAGTTTTGGATTATCTTGTATATTTTTAGGAATATAATATCTTTTTTTTTTTGTTTGTAAAAGCAATAATTTGATGCTAAATTATTATAATAAATTTGTTGACCTGCGTTTAAATATTTGTTATTAGTTATAAGAGTGGATATTTTCAGTAAGTATTGTATGTTAAATGTATAATATAAAATACTTCAAGTTGCAATATTTATTATGCAAATTGTGCTGGATGAATACATCCAAAATTGAATAAAATATTGAAACATATCTAGATGTTAATGTTGATGTTATATATTCAATAATATATCTACTTGTCGAAATAAATATATGTAATGAAGAATACAGAATTAGAACGTATAATTAACTCAATGATTTTATTTTATACCTAACCATTATTAATTTATATTAATTGATTTTAAACGACACCGATAATGTAAATTTAACGAATAGTTAAAGGTTATTTATTTGGTATTCATAAGATATGTTTGCAATAGATCAATGACAAAAATTGTTATTTTAATAAAGAAACGACGTTTAATGAATTTGAACATAATATATCGAGTAACCTACAAAATATAAAGTCGAATTAAGAAACTCCCTTCGTATGAAGTATGTTATGTGCAAATAAAACTTATAGAAAATATTAATATTATTTCCGTAAAATAAAAAAGTTGAACAGGTACTAATGCGGCCTTGATCTCGGTTGTCTTATTATAAAAAAAAAAACCGTAATACTGAGTGGTGGCAATAGTGGTGAGCATAACACTCGAAATATCCACATTTTGTTTAACACAAGAGCAAGTTCGATTTAAATTATTCAGCATACTCCTTCCTTATCTCGAATTGATTTGACTTCTTATTGGTATTTGTGACAAACAAGTTGACGGCCCACCTGATGTAAAATGGTAACCGTCGCCTATAGACATGAACAGTAACATAGACATAACAGAGTATACTGTATCGCCAATCATTTATTCATGCGATGCCATTCATGAGGGCTAAAGTGTTATGTATCTACTTTTCAGGAAATTTCATTATAGAGAACTACACACCATATGGCGGAATGATGGATACTGGCATAGATACTGCTGAGCTAAGAACCTGACTATATACCCAACACGTATTTATAACGAAGGTGTTAAGATGTGTTGTCGAAGAGCCGCTTGGAATCTTTCACAACACTGAAGATTTAGTAAAACTGGAACACAACACTCTGATCATAATAAATGTATTGTAACTTTTAGATAATTGATTGATGATGATATCAGCCATAATTGTACAATGCTACACATAAGAAGGATTTTGCCAGTAGTCGTCAAGTTTGGCTAGCGGGTTGGCAACTGTAGTTAGGCTTTGATGTTTTAAGAGGGACGCTGCTGTCCATTCCTCGACCATTAAGTTCCTTTAGTCGCCTCTTACAACACCCACTGGGAAGAAAGTGGTGGCCTATTCCATGCCTAATAAGATAATAGATTAAATTATGTTTTCTCTATTAAAAATAATTATTTGTTTAATAACTATTCGAAACTATTTCAACATATAATGTGTTAATTTTAATCTTACGACATGTAATAAAAATCTCTACTTTCAAATTATGGAAACGCACCTTTACTTGATTAAATATAAAATAATTACACAGAATTAATTATATTAAAGTACCAGTTGGCGCGCACGTTCATTTTACAGTCAACCATAACAATGAGGGTTATAAACATGCTTTGGAGATGGTTAACAAACACAAAAGCTATAGAAAAATCTAGCGGAGAATTAGAAACTGCTTTCTTTGAGTCGGTCTACAGAGTGACTTATCTTGTAGGTATGTAAATAATGTAAATTGAACCTTATTTTATTAAATGAAATTGGTATATATTAAGGTATATAGATATATTTCACATTTTTGCATCACATTATTTGAAAGGTAAACGTCCATTATGTTTTTGTTTCTATCCATTGAATAGCTGGTTTTTCTAACAGCTATTCATTGGTTTTAAATATGCCATATGAACTTGTACATATTAGTGTGTCATAAAAATTTGTTCAATTAATATAATATATAGGTATATGTATTTTATTGCTTATTTATCGAATAACGACGTCTCAATTCTGAAATCTCAAGACTACTATCACTATAACCATCTTATACTTCGAACAAATAGGACTTCATTTTTCACATCTCTTATTTACCAGACCGATTATGTTCCCAACTATACCAACCTAATATTACTAGTATTTTATAATAGATTTCGAACGTAACACCTTCTAAAAACATTTTCGAAACAATTAAAGGTAATATATAACAAAAAGGCTTTAAGCAAATTAATTTAGCATTTCTATCCAAGGAAGTTGCACTTCAAGCGGAAAATGATAATGAAAAGTGTTATCTATAGAAAAGGCCTTTTAATTAATGATTTTGCTTATTAGAAGATGAATTTAATACTGGCGTAAAAGACCGCTCTCGATAAATATAGTCACTTACATTGTTTAAATAAAAACAATACTATGAGTGAATAAATTAAGGTTAAATATCTTAAACCTAAGCAAGCATCTATAGGCTACGGTGACAGCTTACCAGTAGGCAGGCCGTATCCTTGTTTGCTAACTTAATAGTATAAAAACACTTATTATAGTTTTAGTTTATATTAATACTAAGTTTGTCACTGCTACTTCTCTTGATTTTACGAAAGGTGTTTACTATTTTTTACATGACGATGGGAATGATATTATTGATTACATTTATTTTTGTTATGTTTTTCAAATTTATAAATTATTTCGTTAAAGTATGAAAAGGAGGTCGCATAATCAAAAAATAAATATAGTAACTTCGTATACCCTTCTACAAAAAGTGCTTCAAACATGGTAAGATACCGCAACAGTAAGTTTAGGTTCTTTAGATTACATAGTGTCAGTGGCGGATTTGCAGTCTTGGTCACCCTAGGATCTAGGCCATGTAGTAAGTACTCCTACCAACCGCCTCTTTCTCAACACCCGTCATATTGAGTACATAATTAATTTACTTTTTTGCCAACTTTTATTAAAATCGATTAATAAATTTAGTTAACTATAATATCTGCTAGTTTGTAATATTTTCTAAGTTTTTTTTAGTTATACGTGTTTTGAGTTATTTCTTGTTATCATCAGTGAATTTTTTGTCACGATTGGCCGCCCCTAATATGTGGCCGCCCTAGGCCCGGGCCTTCTGGGCCTTAGGGCAAATCCGCCACTGCATTGTATTGTATAAAAATATTAAAGGCCTATATTAACTTATTCCCTTTAGTTATGTAAAGCAATAATATTACAGAAAAGAAAATCTATATAAATAAAAAATAAACGATGTTCATTGACGGGTACAAATAGTCATTAATTATAAGCGAATTACTATGGAACGGCAGGAACAATTGTTCTTCTTTTTAATATTATTAATTTTATTGCTGTACAATCGTTATTGTTGTTACACAGTGACGGAAAATAGATCCAGTTATTTATTTCCTTTTAATTTTTATTTCTATTGTAAGCTAAATGCAACCATTTCAAACTGATGATTGAATTCACCTCGTATGTAAAACTTCCTTATGGCATCCTGTTAAATATTATAACCCTTCAAATTCAAGATCTATGATCACAATAGTTCATAGATAGAATTGTAACTCAGGAATATATTAATTCTTAGTTTTACTTTGTATACTTTACTTCCTAAGCTTTTTATGAATTCACAAAATGACCACAAATTTAAGAAACTTGAAGAGGACAATATCGTCTTCTAATATATGTCATATGTCGGACCTAATAGTTTGTACATATAAATCATAGTAGGCAAAGCAGATTACGTACGCATTACGTACGTTCTTGCTATGGCCCATTTATCTTGTTTGATGACTAACATGTAATATTTCTGGTTATCGGTGATTTATAAATTAGCGACAGGAGCTCACATTACATTATGGTAATCTTCCACGAGAGGTGAGCGCACTACAGTTCATTCACCATGTCCGCTCATTTACCTATATGAAATTAGGGAACTATCGAGTATCGATCGTCTATGTATAATTTTAAGTACATTTTATTACCATAAGCAATATAAGAAAAACCACATAGTGTGCACATAGTGGTATAACGAACGGACGTGGTCAATGCAGATGTTTCTGAAAACCTTGGCTCATGCATTAGTTAGTACCGTCCAATTGAGTCGTACATTTTTCTGCATATAAATTTAGTGCATTATACAGGTTGATATCAAAATTAAGAGACTGTTCAACTAGTGAACATTAAAGGAACGAGGGGTAAACCTTTTACCTTACAGATGCACGCACCATGTTAAAATGGGATTTCCAACGATTCTCGAAGTAACAAAAAATAAATAAAAGACCTTAAAAAAATTAACTAACTTAAAGTGGAATGTTTGTGATCAACATTTTTTGTAATTTTCTTACTCATGTTTCTTTCGAAAAAATATTTAGTTAATATTCATCTTTACTAATGTAATGTAATAATTACTAGTGTAATAATTTTGATTTGACTCTATAGAATAATTTATAGTAAGTAGGTATAAATGAAGTCATCGACGAATAACCAGATTTACGTTGCGAAGTATGACGGATGTGATTGTAACATTGGCTGGCCATATCACAACAAAGGAACTACAAGAGCGTCTATTTATTTCGAGACGGGCGCGGCAAATTGGTTGGCATTGTTTTGTCCCGTATTATTTATGGTACGGGAAGATCTAGAGGATATTAATATTAAATATGTCCTTCAAAGTCTCAGTTTGCAGTCTTGAAAATATATTGTCCAGAATCATTATTTATTGATAATATTTATAAGTAGATATAAAATATTTAAAAGTAAGTAATCTTTATCCCGCCTTCATTTTCACTTCCTTGATCATATGATAGCCCTCAGTAGTGTCAGAAAACTATACCTGTAATGAGTATTATCCCATTTTTTAAATAATTTAAGATATAATATATCGTCGATTCCATCATTACATGTTAACAATGATTTTAATATGATCAACCTTAAAAATAATTCAAAACCTTTTTTTTTTATACAACTTAAAATGGCAAACAAGCTGACGGCCCATCTGATGGAAAATAGTAACCGTCGCCTATAGACATGAGCAGTACCATGGACATAACAGAGTATAATGTTTCGCCCATGATACCCCCCATGCGTTGCCATCCCTGAGGACTCAGATGTTACTCCTTTGTACCCTGTAAATTCACGCCATATCCCACCCTTCAAACCGAAACACAGCCATGCAAACGCAACTACTTCACGGTAACAACATTTCATAGACGTAATGTAATATACGTACGTATATAAAGAAGAAAAGATAAAGAATAAAAAGGTCATGTACCTACGTATCTTACATTATGTCTTTGAAATGGTTTAGATTATGAGTAGAAGCGGCAGTGAAGGAGTTTCTTGATGCCACAAGATTAAATTGTGTACTCGTATGTTAACAAAAACCTTTGCTTGTATTACAACTTAAGGGCTCTTTCAAACTACTCTACTGCTTTGGTAAATAAGTTTTGCAACCAGTTAACAAAGAAAAAGGTCCCACTACGCAACTAGTTGCAAGTCGAAGAATATTATTATAATCTTATTTAGCAGTATTTTTTTTTCGAAGTAATGTTTTTGCTATATAACTAGTTATTTTTTTTTAATTAGTTTTTTTGCTATATAATATTAATTTAAATGCGGCAACACAATAGTTTTTCTGATGTAAGTTTAATAAAATTATACTACAAAAAAATTGTTAATCTATAATCAGCTTTTTCCATGTAAGTACTAGTTTTATTATGTGAATATTTGTTAGAACAGAGATTTAGATATCTAGAAAAACTCAACCAATTTCAAAAAGAAAAAGTTCTCAATTTGGATGACTACATTGATTGATTTGATTTTTAATGATTTTTTTTTTATTGATATTAGGCTTTTTCTAAACAAATATTTAATTTACATATAACTTTTTCTCAAAATTATTTAATCCTGTATTAGCTCCATGTTTTGAAATCGATTTTATAAACTATTCATTATTAATTCACAGGTTTTTCAACATCAGATAATGGCTTGTTGTACCTGATATACAGTACTGTAGTTAAAATATCGTTATGTTTGGTGCTGTTATCGGAATTTTGGTACATGTGTACACTGGCAAATACTTTGGATGAACTAGCAGGATCCATCAACATAGTAGTTATACATTGTATTACCTGCTTCAGATACGCAAATATGGTAAATATTTTCGATTTGTTTTGACAAAATAGTATAAGTTGTATAAATATTTACGTTACAGCATTATAAATATGTTAGTATTTACGTCTTCTTATTTATCCATGACTAATTCCCCACCAGTATATGGCGCCAGTGGAAATATCATTTTCCACTTTCATCCTATAAAAAAAAAGCTTCACCTCTAGCGGATGGTTTTATAAACTCAGATTATCATACAAACTTATTTATGTAAAGGTTTTAACGTAATAATTTTGTATAACTCATACTGGCCACTCTACACAGAGTGGCCAACATAAAAAAAATATTATTTATAATGGAAAATGTAAACGAAGCCAACCTTGACTAGAGAGGGTGTCACTTTCATAAAAGTAGTTTGTAGTAGCAGGACTTAGGTAAATAATGATTTTAAACCCAATATCTTTATCTAGAATTATTCATGTATCTAAACAACTTTTCTCAAGTTGAAATAAGAAAATATTTTTTGGAATTTTAGATAAATATTTATGATTTACAAACCTTTATAAATAATATTCAGAGAAAAACTTAAAAAAAAATTGTAGTGGTAGTTGGCGCATAAAAAACAAAATATCAAAGTTAAATATAAATAAAGTATAAATAAGTAAAATAGTAAATAATCTGTCTACATATGTCTCTATATCTTCTATGTATATCTATCTAATCTATATATCTTTGTGAATATCTCTACTTACAAATGATGATGGCGAAAATGATGACTGTACGTCAAACATATTTGCAGACTGTTGCTCTCGCATTAAATGTACTACTCGACTTGCTGAGATTGCATTAAGTATACATATGTAATGGAAAATTAAAGAACTCACTTTATTTTTGTCGTTTCGTCAAACAGTTGTCGACAATTGTTTTGACTTCAAGCGGAAGTCTTCAAGAAGCGTTTGGCGCTTTGCGTCACAGTGTCCAACCTTGCATTGTTACCTATTTATATTAATTTCCCATTACATACGAGTATATACATCGAATAAAAAATAAACATAAGTTTTAAAAATAAGATTGCATTAAGTGTTTTAAGATCTATCCTATATATTATTAATGAATAAGAGATATAGAAAAAAATAAAATAAAAAAACTGGTGATTTCGCAACAAATCGAAGAAATAGTTCTAATAAGTATACCAAGCGAAAACGCAGTATCTTATTTATGAAACTGAACAACTTTTCCCAGGAAGCGTTAACGGAATTACAAAAGAATTTTTAACTTTTATTAAGTATTCAATCAATTAAGAAACCGCAAAAATTATACGAATGCTAATTTTTATTTGTGATTTCGTTCTCATGATTACGATATATGAATTGAGCGATTGATTGAGCCGTTAAGGCACTAAAAAATAAAAAACAAACAAACAAACTTTCTCATTTAGTTAGCATTATCGCTAATTGTTACTGCAGTAAATAAAAGGTTACCCTTGCTATTATACGGGTGGAGTACGTAAAGAACAGAATACTTTGACGGCCCACCGTCGTTCGCTTGGTATATTTATACTAGCACTCATTCCGCCTAATCTCCACCCATTGTATTATAGATAGTCCTTTATAGTTTAATACGAAGAGCATCTATTTTCCCAAATTATTTTTATCATCATCATCATATCAATCGTTACTTATCCACTGCTGAACAATAGGCCTCCCTATTTGAGGGGGGTTTTGCCTGTAGTTGCCACGCATAGCTGGCGGGTTGGCTAATGACGTTAGACTTTTAATGATGTTTTAAAAGGGACGATGCTACCCATTTTTAACCATAAAATTCCCTTAGTCACCTCTTACGATACCCACAAGTTTACAAATTACTTTGTAAACTTTTAAATACTTTTGGGAACCTTAAATTATTTTGGATCAATGCAGCGTTGGTGATTACATAGCTCATTACCTTTTTTATGGATTATGCACATGGCAATGAATATCATGACGAGTTTCGTGTTTATTATTAGTTAGTAATACGTAAAATGTACGATGCCGAATTTGTTAGTTTATGAGTTTGTTTGCTTTACGAGTGAATAAATATTATTTTACTGAATTAAATTTTGAAACAGCATTTGAAACGACTATTTTATATGCTTGCACAAATATTTAGGTCCATATTATTATTGAAATATGAATATGACCAATAAAATCTCGTTGTATGAGATATGCCTGTAACTTAGCGTTTAAGATATTTATTTCTTAAAATAATACTGGATTTAAATGAGATTGCAACTAAAACTAATTATATTATTATATTGTAGCCGGAAGCATTTATGATTGTAAATTTTCTTATATATATATCTTATATATATAATTTCTTTAATACGTATAAGATAAATAATCATATTTTATATCTAGTATTATAATAAACACAGTAAAGATAAAAAAAAGTTAAATAATTGCTACAAACTTGAAACTTTGCATAGTAATATTACATACTTATTAGATTAAAATGACTTTGTAAAAAAAAGTCCACCTCGGAAATTGGGATCAAAAGGCTATCTTTAAGAGTTTAAAAATAAAAAGTCAGGTACTCGCAAATTATTTAAAAACTATTAAACATATTTAAATATGTTTGAAGAAGTTTTTGTAACTGAATTAATTCTACTCTTTCTTCTTGCAACTAGATAGGTGACTTCTCAACTTCATTATAGTTTTAAGATTCATCATAGTTTTAAGTATTTTTACGCTCTTCAAAGTGTGGACCAAAAATTCATATGGGGGTACCCATATGAATTTTCTCCACTCAACTTTGTAATTTCTTAATTAAAAATATCATACACTATTTTTTAGTAATGTTTGAATAAACTTTGTAAAGATATTATTCTAAAATTCTATAATAAAAACTGTATATTAAAAAAACATTATATATTAAAATATCTCAGAAGTAGGGAACTTATACTTACTTTTTAGAAATATAGGAAATACAAAATTTTTCGCAAAAATGTTTATATATGATCAATTAGAAAGTAGAAAGAAAGTACAGAAAAATAAAGTAGAGACTTTAATTCCTAATTTTAATAAAGAAAAAAAATTGATATAAACCAAATAAAAATTACAAATTAAAATATATAACGCTTATCATTAATTTTCACCGAGTGCCCGTCATTTTTAAAAATATTCATGATATGAGCGTAATTATGCATTCTAAATTTAAAAATGTCTATTACAGACATGGCTTGAAATGGAGCGTATTAAGTAAAATATTTTGCACCATTATATTTTGGTCTCAGTTTCTAAATTCACAATTAATAATAATTAACCTAAACTAAATAAACAAGCTCAATAAGCGTTATAGTCATATCGAATTTTTCTATCTAATGCATAAATTCTTAATATGTTTAAAATATATTTTTGTTTTGATACGTATTATTTAGCGACACGATGAATATTACAGAAATATGTTGCACAAAAATATCTCAAAAAAATTTTTTGTAATGATTTTTGGTTTCAGTATGAAGTATATCTAAAAGAAAATATTATTTGCTTCAAATGAGCCATAATTCATTAAAATCAGTATTATACTTTAAAATTTATTGCCATATCAATTTGTCTTAATTGGATTTTTTTTAAGTGGTTGGCCTATTTCAGCACGCAGTATGTATAATTTGAAATAAAGTTTTGTGTGAGAATCTTTACTTAGCGGTCTTTCGACTAAATGTTTTAAACAATTTGTATAATTTTAATGTATGACGTTATAAACATTAAAGAACATTTAGTTAAAAACATGTAGTTAAAAAAACATTTAGTTATAACATAAAACAAAGACTAGGCTAAAACGTAACAAGAAGACACAGGGCTGCATTGAAAGCAATTCATGCATTTTATGTTTATACTTTAATAACTTGGTTAGTTTTACTAAAATGTTGAAAAAAATATCAAAATCAGCTAGAAAATTACTCCTTTCAATGTTTTTTAATTCCTTTCATACTTTAAAAACAATTTGTTAAAAAGGATTTTTTTTTATTTTAAAACCCCTATATCCGGCTCTTTGGACCTTCGTTCAGAAATTATCTTTTTTATAAAATTATTTTAACTTAATAAATAACTATGGGAAGTTTCAAGATTGCACCATTTTATTTCACTTTTACCTTTGAACGATATCAGTTTAATTAGAGTAATGCTAAATATTTAAAAAAAAGAACGTTATGGCCTAGTGATTACTACTTTAACTCAAAAACTCAATAAAACAATGAAATGAAATTTTGAATATCGCCATTTGAGCAAAATTATTTACATAAATATAATAATTTGCAAGTCTTAATAACAAACAATGTCAAAACTTCAGTTCAGCATCACTTTACATTTTCCACTAATTGTCTGGTAATGCTATAGATACTTCATCATGTAAGAGCACACTAGAGATAATCACGGGCTCCTACCACGTTACATTCCAGCAATGTAATATGATCACGGATGTCAAGTTCATAACAATTGAGAAACTGCCTGTAACGGGTAGTCAGAATTGTCTTGGATTACAGTCTTGAAATTTATAAAAAAAAAATCCAAATTAATATAGCAAAGAAACCTTGGCTCCCTGATACGTTTATTCATTGGACAACAAATATTTTTGATAATAATAAATATATAGGGTGAAATCGAAATTTATACAATCATTTTAATGGAATATTCTACATGCGAAATTGAACATTTTCACCAAAAGCATATGTAACAATAAACGACAAAAAATTTCGGGCTTCCCATATAAAACCGTCCATATGTTAAGATAGTATGAGAGAACGATGTAGGTTTATAATTTTTCATTAATTAAATTTTAGTCTTAATATATTCTATGGCTATATATAAATTATTGTAACGTATAACCAACGAGTTCAATTTCACTCTTTATATAAAAGTAGACTCCATGCCAATGTGTCACACATAAGCCAAATATAGAGTTAAAATTCTTAGCTTAGTGTAATTGTTAGTCATAGATATGTGTCATGGTAAATTGTAGATAATCCATAAAGACGTCTATAAGAAACTTGCACAGGCCATGGAGTCACCGTACTTTGATATTTCCACATCTAAAAGGAAAAAGATAACAGAGTATTGGGCGCAGCAGAACGAAAAATATCTAAAGACACTCTTGCTTATTGGAAACAGTACACTTGCAGCTTGGTGAGTGTTTATATTATTAGGCTTTTTACTAATTTCTTGTTATGACAGACAAAAAATCCTTGGTGTGACAGAATAAGTATTACCCGTTTTTTATTCCCAAGATGTCTAAGTAGTAAGTAAATGAAGAAAGGACTACACAGCAGCGTAAGAGAAGGAAAACTCGAAATAAAAACCAAACCACATGTTCAGTGTATAATAGACCTTCCCTTTTGAAGAAAAATTTAAGTGCACAGCAATGGGTCTTTAATAGTTTGTTAAAAAAGGAAAGAAGTTAGAAGAAAGAAAGAAGCGTAGTAGTAATATAAGTTATCATCATTACTACATTAGTTAAATTAATCAATATTAATTTTTAATGTTAAACCCAGTACTTGTATCTGTGCTATTATGTTAAGTTTATGGTACTACTAAAAAAGTTGATATAATATTTTTTTTAATTATATCTATGAATGTAATTTTTTTCAGATTTTTTACATTTTTCAAAGGGTTACTTTCGTTATATGTACATATAGTTACTTATTACAGCTATTAACTACTACCCGTTGAGTATTAATTTAGATTTAAAATTATTTAAGTATACCTATCAGCTGTCTATAAACAAAATATTTGGGTACCTACTAAATATCTGATAATACATAAATATTTCTTTCCTCTCATAATCTAAATGAACACTGTCTAGGAGCTAATATCATTATTATTATTATTTTTCAGGTTCATAAATCCCTTAATAGACGGGGTAGATCGTAATATAATTGGAGGTATTTACCTTCCCTTTTCATATGATACTCCCTGTCGATACGCCGTTTCTTACCTTATGGTGATAGTATCATTCGCCTACATATCATATAGCGTCATGCTGAGCGATCTCACCATGCAAGCTCACCTTATCCACTTGGTCTGCCAGTTCAATGTGCTTGTAGACTGTTTTAAAAACATTATAAATGATTGTCAAGGACCCGACGGTATGTACGTGTATTTATCTACTTGCTTATTGAATGGTAGTGCTGTATAAAACCATAGACTATGCCTACAAATTGTTATTAATTGCCTTTTTATTTGATGAACTCGAGTTGGATTGAATCGTATGACTGCTGCTAGAATAATGGATTTTCTAATTAATTGAAAAAGCTATTTGGCGGGTCGATTTACTGCATATAAGCAAGATATTGTTGTCATGTGTAGTAATATTCATATTCCGTGTACGAAAGTAATGAATTTTTTTATTGTTTAGCTGAACTTTAGGGTACATTTTGATTTTTTTCTTATAAAGTACCCCTATATTACAACGAATAAAACGATGTTTTTTAAATCGGTCATCATATATATATATATATATATATATATATATATATATATATATATATATATATATATATATATATATATATATATAGATGATGACCGATTTAAACATTTTTTTTAACCGATTTATTACATTCGTAATATATATATAATATATAATAATAATAAGAACTTTTTTATGGAATTTGCAATCCTGGCTGCTTGTAAGTATTTGAATTTCGAATGCAGCGTTTTATAAGAAAATATTACTTATATTATTTTTTTGGCGGGAAGTGCATGACAATAATTGTAAATTTTATTGTTTCTCTTATTTACAACAAAAAATTATTTAAAATTATATAAGTAAGGTGATTGTTATATAATATTTTATTAATAAAATATTATTATTTTTGAAGTTACCACCAAAAGTCTTTAAGTTTATACTGTAGGTTTACCTAATTGTTAATAGTGAATGAATTTAAAAACAGTACCCATTATGCTTGCTAGTAACATATGTACAATCTTTTAGCTTATATCATTATGTTATCAAACTTACTTATACCAATTCTTGATAGAGTAACATTGGTAACCTATTTATTGATTTATATTCCAGATCTTGAAAATAACAATATGCTTGTAATTAACAATAAATTCAAGGAAAGGTATGTGAAGAGATTGGGTGATTTGATAGAGCAGCATAGGAGTATATTAAGGTACTAAATATCTTAAACCTAATTAATAAATATGGTTCCCGTATGGTTTTGGCATAGAATAGGCTACCCCTTCCTTTCCCGTATGTATTGTAAGAGGCCACGAAGGGAAAGCGAGGTATGGACAGCAGCGTCCGTCTTAAAACATTCCAAAGCCTAACTGCGGTTGCCAATCCGCATGCCAAGCATGGCAACTACTAGCAAACCCCTTCTAGGGAGAAGCTAATGTTCAGCAGTGGACAGTAAAAAGATGATATGATGATAATAAATAAACCTAACGCTCGGAGAATTGACCTCGGTCTGACACTGGCCGCGGTATGCCGTAGAAATACGGGTTCAAATCCCGCCCACTGCGAAATTTTTCAATAAAACAATAAAATATGGAATACAATTTTCAGGGTGCAATAATATTTCTAAAACAATTTGCAATTAGTAAATAGCCAAGTGTCTTAACATAAAACGTGTCCAAAAATAAAGTATATTCTCGTTTATACACATTTAGACATGTTTAGTGCGTGTTATTCGTATTTGTAGTCAGAAAGGAAGATTAGACTTGGTTTCGTGAAAGCTCCAAAAAAACTTTTTCATATATTTTATAAAATCCTTTCCTTACGTTTACCAACTAATGTTGGTAAACCCTGAGATTTACTAATATACATACATTTAAAGTACATAAATACATATACATCATCTATGGTGTATTTAAATAAATGTATAAATTGAAAATATTAAATTTTATTTAGAATTTTCCCAAAAACAAACCGCCCATATTTTTTTATATTTATCTTAAGCATTATTTTTTGTTTTATTTATGTAATTAAATGTAAATAAATGATAAAGATATTTTTAAATTTTATTGCAGTCTAGCTATGAAGCTGCGATATATACTGAGCGCACCTTTGTTAGGACAGCTGGTCGCAAGTGGTATACTTATTTGTTTTGTCGGTTACCAAGCTACTACGGTGAGCAATGAAAGTCTTTATATTATATATCGTTACATATTTAATAAATGTTATATACTTTTTTTATAATGTATTATGCAAAAGTAAATTTAGTTTAATTAATTAGTATATATGAAATAAAAAAAAATATGAATAAAATAAAAAATAATAGCAAACATTAAATTGACTATGAAATTAGTTCAATTTTGCCAAAGTAATTGATAATTCACCTAGTAAAAAGTAATTGTATTTTTTTATTACTAGACATAGTAGGAATCACGCAACATGGGGTGCCATTCATGAGTTCATTTTTATTTAAAAAATTGTTCTACTTGTTTTTTGAGCAAAACAATATGTCTCGCTCCTTAATCTTATGACGAATATTAAACTTATTGTAAATTTAAAACAGCAGCTGCAGAGTTAAATATAATAACATATTATTTCCAATTTAATCCATACAACATTACGTGAAACTAGATAAATTCTATTTTTATAAAATGACAACCAAATAGGATTCTAAATTTAAATGTTATGTTGCCTGTGATGCTGGCCATTATCCTCTAATAAAAACTCACATACCTGCTACATTTTTATTACATTAGAATGCCTAACAATCATCTAATTTTTTTTTAACTTAATCGTTTCCCTGTTTTCACAGACAGCCGCAGCCAGTTTAACTCAAGGTCTCACTAGTATCTTGTACTTGGGATATAATCTCTTCGCATTCTACATAATTTGCCGTTGGTGTCAAGAAATAACTACACAGGTTTGTATTACAAATAATTATATAAATCTATGGTAGTCAAAATCATAAAGTAATAATCTAGCAACCTGATTATGGCTAACTGAGAGAACTGAGGAAACTTAGTTGAATTTTATTATAATTTTGCTTATCATCATCTTCCTATCTTTAACCCAATTATTACTCGTATTTGGAGTCGGCGTTCTTTTCTTTTTTTAAATTTTCTCTTTCTCTTCTTCTTCTGTCATAACAAAGATTTGTTAAAAAGTTTTATGTATACAAAATTCAGCGGCAAGGTCTTAGGCCATAAAGAGATTTTAATACGTTGATTTGTTAAATGTGACTATCTGGCTATAACTTGTAACTATCTGATTGATTCAAATGAAGTGTACACTTAGTTTTTAATAAGTACATTAAATTCTTTTCGATTATAAAACTTCGAAAAATCTCTTAGCTATTTTCATCACGTCTAAATGGCGTGCTTCATTAAAGTTTGGATTTCATGCATATTTCTAGTCCCCTAATTTGTGTCAAAGAAAGCACCCACGGACTTCTCGAACTATTTGATTTTATTATATTATTAGATAAAGTTTTAATGCACACATAACTCCACTTTTCATAATCGGCAGTGAATTATTTCCTATCAAATGGAATCAGATCCATAAGTATGCATTATTCTTGTATTAATTAATATTATTTAATTAATAATAATATAAATATTAGTAATTGTCATTACAGTATTATATATATTTAGAATCTCTCGTATCTTTTATTTCACTTTTCTCTTCCCGCTAGATTATTATTATTACACACAAAGCCAGCACGCTCATCTATGTTAATAGGTCGAATATAAACCCATCATATTCGCTTCATACATGAAAGCACAAACAAGCGTTAGACATCTATCAAGTTATAGAATTCAAGTTAGAAGATTAATTGGATAACTAGAGTTGATGTTTGCGATGTTGAAATACAGAAATTGTTTAGTTTGTAAGCGTGAAGCTTAGTTAAACGGAAATCTAGTAATGCTTTGCTAATAACCGAGACAATCAAAGTTTAATTCTATCGATGCGCTAGTGAAATGTTCGGCGTATTGCAAAGGTATATCTGTTTAATATTGTGACGAGGCTTTCTATTATAATGAACAAATTATATATATAAAACACAGTGTAAATATGTATACTGTTACAGAAGGTATAAATGATTGTACTATTCTTTGTTACTTAAAATATTTTTGATTCAAGATGCTAATTTTAAAGAATAACTTCTATTGCACTAATTATTGCTTATTTTATTAAAATTAATATTGCTTTTATCTTTTTAATATATAAGTAGAAATTACTCTATCACGCACTGGACATAATTATATTTAATCCTTAATGTCCATTGTGTAATTCACGTCAATAGGCAAGGATTATTATTTTTCATCAGCTTATTTAAATAAATAAAACTTAAATTAAAAATATAAAACTGTATGTAAAAAAGCAATATCAACAATATAGATTTGTATTCTTTAAAATATTGCACCTATTCATAATAGTAAATTATATTCTGGACAGTACTCTGTGAATGTTTCAGAGTCAGAATGTTGGTGAGGCAGTATATTGTTCTGGTTGGGAGCAAGGCACTTCTATAATACCCAAAGTCCGTTCAAGTTTGCTCTTAATCATCGGCCGCGCGAATAAACCTCTTATATTTTCTGCTGGTGGAATGTACAATCTTTCCCTCCAGTCTTATACTTCGGTAAGTTATTACCATACTAACTTTAATACGTATTTAAAAAAAATTAGGTCTCGACAATTAATTATTTGTATTTAAATCGAATGATTACACAAACTCTCATTTCAGTTGGTAAAGACGTCGTATAGCGCATTGACAGTTCTGCTTAGAGTTCGCCAAAACTAACAATTGTAGCTAAATAATTAAATTAGTTACATTAATACGTTGTAAACATCAAGTCACACGTTCTGTCTATATGTAGAGCTGTCATCGTCAAAAGAAACAACACACGATCATGGTAAACACATGTAACAACATTTAGTCATATTATTATGTAAATACTTGTCGATTGTCCGAACATATTAACATTTGCACAAAACAATTTCAAAGATATCCACCAACTTGAATTAGTCAGCGTTGTCATGTCAGAATACTAATTTATAAATACTGAGAGATTTATTTGAAGCTCAAATTTGTCGAGACGCAGGAAGTGAACACACAGCTGCTAAACATCAGAACACTTCAAGATGAATATAATGGGGTATTTGATTACCCTTGCCAATCTTCAGGTAAGCATATTAAATTTAATGTACTGGAAGTAGACTTTTATGTTGTTCTCCTGAATACATTACACATTTCTGTGTGAAGCACGCGTACATTGTATTTCGATTTGAAGATACGCCACTCAGTGCAATCTCTCTAAGAGCTATTTACACAAGGACTACCTCATAAGCAGTGACATATGAAAGCTCCGTGAAGAAACAATATATTTTTTTTTATATTTCTGAGAATTAAATGTTGTAAAAATGTTTTATCTACATGTGATGTTTATATTTCAACTTTTTACACATTTCTTTATTAATTAATAACTTACAAGTGACGAAAAAATATTCTTTATCAATAATTATATTAAAGTATAAAATGAAATATTAAAATAAAAATTATGTATAATTTATGTATTTATTTTATTTGAATTTAATGATAAAAACATAAATGTAATTAGATATTTTTGAAGTAAATTATGATTATAGCAATTCTATGTATTAGTATACTATTTCAAAAACATTTTTGCTATAAATATACCTAACATTGATATCGAAAATGTTTTAGAAATAGTCTTAAACAAGAATTTTTCCTTTATAATATAACCAAAAATACTTTTAGATATATATTTCATAGATTAAAAATTACATTTGCTAGATAAATAATTTATAAATATTTAAGATAATTTAGTTCCTTTTTTAATTTTATTTGGTCGGTAATATTTAAATTGCCAGTACCTACGCTACATAGTATACCTAATTAATAAAAATACGCTCTTAATAAAAACTTCTTACATCTACTATTTCAAGTAACTGTGTTATACTTGAATTTCTAATAGCTCATGTACCTAGTTATACAAAGTAGTTTTTTTTTTTATTATATCATAGTAAGTTGATCCATGGTAAAATACATTTTTCCCAACAAGATGTCGTTCTTATTTTAAATGTAATTGCAATTTTTATTAAATATTTTAATTGTCTGCGAATCGTACAAAGTATCCAACATGTACTCTATACCAATCTTATATTTTTTTTAAGCATGAGTAATTTGACACTATTAAGATTTTAGCTACCTCATGTGAATTTTTACAAGATTAAAATATTTCTGTATACATTACATTATTTCTATATCATTACATACAGTCCAAATAACATGTGTAAACTTATATGAATATATCTATAAACGAAATTTGATTTCAGAATTTGGAAAACTCTGCGGGTCCTCTCAAAAAATTGTCAGTAAAAGTAGCAGAAACACAACTATTGACCAACGATTTGAAAACTCATCCCGAATTTCCTATAGAAAGCTTTAGGAAAACTGGTTACAGTAAAGTGGGAAATGTTGGTATATATTTATCGAGAAATTTACGTGACTACATTTACTATGGAATAGGAAAACCAACAGATGAAGCTGTTTTATTGAAATTGGTGTTTAAAGACGGATTTACTGGAGATTCTAAACTCATCAATGCGCCCTATCGTAATATCGATACACCGGATTCTTCTTTATCGTATTTCCTACATAGAGGACATGTTGATGAAGCTGTGAAGCAAGGTATTGACGAATACGTGAATAATTTGAACAACAATGGAAGAAGCAAACGTGCTGTGATTGCCCAATAAAGTAAAACAACATAAATGTGTAGTTTAACATACCTACATCATAACATCATATTTCTAAATAGTTGGACAATATAGTAGAGACGAAAAACGTAGTAACACACCAAATAATGTATTTAAATATTTTGGATTAATAAAATTAGAAACTGTTTAATTTATTTTTTTTATTTTGTTCATGAGACATCTTGTGACTTGTAGAATACAAGATATCCATATTTGATGCATGCAAAAGGAGTACTTAACCATATATAGAAACTGCTACTACTGCTATTTATATCGTATTGTATTTTTATTGCATATAGCGATGTGTAATAAAATAAACACTGGAGAATTACAAGAATTTAAAAATAGGTAAGTAATTATATAGCATAAATATATAATATATACTAATTAATATAAATTATTTTATATTACATCAATATCAATCTATAAATGTCTTAGGGTATGAATATTTACTAGTAAAAAATTACCTAGCTTTCATATTCGATAAGCATACGAAGTCATTATGTAAGAATTGTAGTTATATTTTTAGTTTCAACGATTCAGAAGATGGTACAAAGTGATATTTCTGAAGTTTTGGCCGAAAACCGTGCGTTTTTCACTACAAACTTTATTAGATTAGGTCGAATAGAGAAAACTTTACATTCGATTCCATAGAATTCTTTTTTTGTAAGTCATCGCAAACATATTTAATTGGTAATTTAAGTTATAGAAAACAATATAAAGTACGATCTAGAATCGTTTACATCTGAATATTTGGGATTATAAATTCGGACTAAAAATAGGTCATTAATATGTACGATAGATCTTTACTTGTGTATATTAAAGTCTTATTTTTTAAATGTTTTAAATCATTGAAAATACAATACACACAATATCTCTCCTGTAAAAAAATCATCTTTGGTAAATTTTTCATATTTCACTTTTTAAATAATACATTTTTTCTTTATATTTTTATATCGTATCTACTTAAATATAGAGAGTATAAATATTATAACATATTGTCCCAATAAATGAGATGAAAGCGATAAAGAATATTACAAACACAAAATACAAAGTCTCTACCACTAAATACCTAACACTGATGGCTATGTTGGTACACATCATATTATAGATGCAGTTATTGTAAAGATAAGAATGTACAGTTAAAACAATATTTGGTAGTCTAATTTATTTTCAGGATTTAATACGGCACGATTTTATATTGGACATTGAACAGTCCAAAATATGATTTAATTTTTAGTTAAAAAAAAAATTACAGAAATTTTAATGACTGGCAAAATTAATATGATGATTCCGTACATACATTAAAATATTTCAAAGGCACCTGCTTATCTGATTTTTAAGTTGCTTAAAAATCAGATAAGCAGGTGCTACTTACTTGAAGTCGCTTTAAGGTCCAATTAGACTGAGCGACGAATATTAGAGAACACATTTAGGTAAGTTGCTTTTCTCAATATACACAATCTGATAATTAAAACCCAGATAAATACAACAGATAATATAAACTTCATTTACGAAAAACAACACTATGTCTTTAATACGTTTGTACCGGTACGATTCCCGTACTATAAATTTGACACTAATTCTCATGAAATAATTTAATTATGATCTCAATCAATTTATACATTGATGTTTGATAATTGCTGACTATTATCTATTTAGATATATTTTAAAGAAACAAATAAAGACACTTTAGACAACTGATAATTTTTTTTGTAAATACATAAAAAACATCCAGGTCGATAATACAAACATACACAGCTACCTACTCATGTATACAAATATTTATATAGTGCGAGACTTGAACCACTGACCATTATACTGGAAAGTAAAGCAGTGTGTTAAATTGTTACACCCCCTATATCGTCAATAAATACATAATGTTTATAATAAAATGTGTGTTTAAATTTTTGTGTTCGGCATTTTAATTGAACATATCCGAAAATTGGTTGTTTTTGACTGTACTTCAATGAGATACTGATAACACGACATATCCTATTACTGCATAATTATTATCATTTACGTTCCGCGCAATAAAGTAGTCAGTTGCATTCATAGATGTAACAATATAATTAATCTAAACGTGGAGTTAGACTAAAAGCACAAAGAGAACAGAACAAAGGTTAGAATATAGAAACACATACATATGTAGGTTTATATTAAATGAATCGCATACAAATTGTTCGCGAATATATTGACACAAAAATATTCTTTGCGCGCTTACACTAGCAATCGAAGGAGTAAGAGATTAACGAAAATTCGCGTGCTTAGTCTAACTCCACCTTAAAACTCGATTGCCCTTTGTTTACTAATGACGCATACGGCGTACCCAAGACGCGAAGTCGTTTACCTTCCGAGCGGCGAGACGGCCGCCATGTGCGTAGATGCGTGAGCGCACGGCGTCGCGCCAACCAGACACAACGAGCCCGCGGCGGCGCGCGGACGATGCCGCACTGGTTGCCGGCGGCTATATTCCTTGTCGTAGCCACTCACGCCTGGCGACCACCACACGCGCGTCTGTCAACCCGCTCGCAACTGAGGTCTAACAGCACCACCCGTCATCTCCACCTCTTAGGTTGGCACTTGGAGCTGCAGGAAAACCGGGCTATACGTTCCCCTTATTACAAAGAGTGTCGGTTCTACAGAGGGCGTGTGTTATTCGAAGAAGAGTCGTCCGTGACGGTAACAGAATGCGAAGGTCAACTATACGGGCTGCTGCAAATAGGTAAAGAGGAGTTTGTGCTGCAGCCTACGAGGCCTGGAGGCGACCATGTGTTGCGGCGTCGCGATGTGCTGCTGTCCGAGCGGCCGACTGCGTACAATCTCACAGGAGACACGGTCACTGAACTTGAACTTGAGTTCGAGGAAAATTATGAATCGATGCCATATGTGAGCATAGGACACAGTGATGACTCGGACACTGAGTATTTTCACGATATACAACAGCCCATCACAAGACCAATTTCAGGTGTGTGAAAAAACTAGTGAATGTTGATGTTGTAGTTGGCGTATCGAAGGTAAAATGCATTTTGTGAATCAATATTGCAGGTGTGAAGGGACTGTGGCTCGAGATGGCGATAGTGGCTGATCATACTATGTTGAAGTTTCACGGTAGGGAACGAGTGGAGCACTACATTTTAGCTTTAATGAATATCGTAAGTATGACGAACGAGATATCTGTATGTAACCTCTTATTTTATTTTGGTACAACGCCGGTAGCGCATCTGCTTTTGGACTCTATATTTTTATGTAACAATTTGTAGGTCAGTGCCATCTTCAACGACCCATCAATGGATTCAAACATGACACTTGTTATTAACAAACTATTTCTGAATGAAGAAAAAGACTCCATAATAAAATATGGCAATGTCAAAAAATCCCTGGAAGCAGTCAACAAGTGGAATTACAGACATCTAAATAAATTACCCAGAGGTATGTTCAGAACCGGTATCAGCACCGATAGTACTCTTGTATTCACATAGTAAACAAAACACTCCTTAATTTACCGGTTTTATTGGTAAATACATTCTATTTTAAAAAGTAGCACTTTGCTAACAATTTATCAGTTACTGTAAATAAAAAAAAAAACATTTATTTTAATGCATAATACAGTTTTTATAACATTATTGTAGGCATATTTAATAATTATTATAACGATAGTTAACGGGAAAAAAATAAACAAATTAGCCATATACGAAAAACTGAAGCAAAAATACCAATAAAAAAAAAGGATTACAATTTAATAGCCACCTGGTCAGTTACATTGAGCTTAATTCAATAATAGACAAGTTTTAATGTAATTTTTATACTTAATTCAATTAAATTGTTGAATTTCGTCAATATTTCAATTTGATTTAGGTTTCTTTTTATACCACTGAGGTGGTAAACAAGCATACGGCCCACCTAATGATAAGCAGTTACCGTAGCCTATAAACACCTGCAATACAAGAGGTATTACGCGCGCATTGCCGACCCCGAAAAAATAGTAGAAAGTGGCCGCGTTGTACGCAAGAACAATTATAGGTACTCTAGTTTTATTATAATTGTATGAGGATATAGATATAAATAGACGTCAATTTTCATGTACTTAGTTATAGAAAGACCAAAAGAGCTAATTAGGTCTCTTAACTAAATTTCGATACAAAGTTCCAAATTGAAATGTAAATCGAGTAAAGTGTAAAAGCGTAACATTTTGTAATATCGGGCATCGTTTTTATAAAGATTAAAGTTACACAAGAACAAAATTATACGAAAACGTGAAATGTACATAAAAATATCATAAGTTTTATTATAATTATAACATTAAATTACATTTTTTACAGTTCTATGCACAGATATAGATATAAATAGACGTCAATTTTCATGTAATTTATTGTTAAAACAATTGATTATATTAAATATAAAATTACTACACAGACATCCAAAAGTAGATTACTAAAACAAGTATGATTAAATATTTCTGCACTTAGTAGGAAATTGTAAATCGTTACGTCATTTATATTAAATTATTGTGTTATTAGCACAACACACGTACTTCATATACATAATCTATTTATATATCTTTAATAAACAGTGAAAATATTTTTTTCTCATAATGATACTTGTAATTAATATAAATATTTACCCCATTATTCATAAAAACGTCAAACCTCTCATAATTTTATCTGATCTTTTAATAATTTCTCATAATTTTAGCTATTGAACTGTTTTGTCACTTTCTTTTGAGTTAAATTCCAAATTTGAAAGAAAGTATAATAACAAAACAGTGTAATAGTTAAAATAGATTTAGAAGAGAATAGTTAAAGAAGGTTTTAGTTTTTATGAATAAGGAGGTTATTGGTTTAATTTCATCTGATTTTTATATTGTAACTAAAAAATAAATCTATGTTATTACTACAGTTATATATATATATATATATATATATATATATATATATATATATATATATATATATATATATATATATATATATTTTATTTATAGGTGGTTCATATTGTTAATTAAATTTCTCAGGTACGACAGGCTGGGACGTAGCAGTCTGGCTGACTAGAGTACCACTCGGTGGACCCTCGGGTTTCGCCCCCGTTGGAGGAGTCTGCTCCAGCATGCGTTCTGCATCTATCAACCGAGATGAGGGCCTCACTAGTGCCTTCGTCATTGCGCATGAACTTGCCCACTTGTAAGTACTTTATTAATTTTATATCTCTTATTATGGCTTTTTTCGTTACTTCGTACGCGTGGATTTTAGAAGTAGAAAAACTTATAGACCATTTCTGGATGACGGATCAAAAAAGACGTGCAATAGTTTTTAACTTAAAGCATTAAGAACGCAACTGTGAAAACCTCACCCAATTTGGTGTAGTTTTTGCGTGATGACGAAACAAACATACAAATACATTTATATATATATAAACATACATTTTTTTTTTAAAAAGGGCGAATTATAGTTTCTTAAGATTCGGCGATGCGCGCGTGACAACCCTAGTATTACAGATCCTTATTATCAAAGGGATTATATGTTTGCCACTAAAGTTATATAAAAAAAAAACAAACAAGCAGGCAGACCAAATTTCTAAGAAATATCGGTTTGGCATTTATCGGTCTTATTTAGATCTAGAGATTATGTTATTTTTTCTTATCTACCTCCCATGTATCTCCCAGGACAGGAAGTTTTGGAAGGAGATTGTGGGACCTTTGCTCAGCAGTGGGACATCATAGGTTAATAATAGATAGATCTCCCATGTCTATGTACAGACATAGTCTAATTTTAGTTCAGCAAATAAGATTCTATTATTATAACAAATAATGCTCTGATTATTAATATTTGTATAGGGTTTGCACCATCTGATGTCAAGAATATCAAAAACTGCCTAATTGTGCCCGTTAATAGTCTTTGATAAGGATTAACGGAAGATGTTTATGAATATTAATTAGATGTTTAAATCAATTGATTTTAAAATTATAATCAGTAGACTGTTTATGATTGGATCAATTATTCGTTTGTTTGTAGCTACTGACTAGCTTAATAAAGTACAATTTTGACATAAGGAATAATTAAATTTAACAATCTCTCGTAATATTGTACGGATAGTGAGATCCGATTACACTGTATTACATGGAAGGTTTAAGTAATTAAGTTGAGGAATGTAGGATAATGGTCATGTCGAGTACCTGAATTCTTTGTCTGAGTAATTAATGTTTTACATTTAAATGTATTCATAGTGATTAGAATTAAATTACTCGCATGGCCAACTGTATAATTAAGCCTGAAGCTCTCTCAAGGCGATAAGTAAATTTTAAGCCTCTAGTTTATATATTTATATATATTTATATTAGCCTAATAGTCTCTAGTTTTGAAACATAATAATTTCTGCAATAAAAATATTTGCAAGCGATGCAAATATAATAAGACGACTGGCACTAGATGGAGCAATGACCGCAAATGTATCATGCATGCAGGCGGTTCGATAGATTCTTTCTTTGCAGAGTTTTATGAGGGAAACGTATACCAGACAATAAATAGTCAAAATTATTATAATTATACCTTGTAGCATAATACAGTTATTAAATTTAGATGCAAGACAATACAAGAATGAATCATCTCTGCAAAAAATATTACAATTTGTGCATTATGTTTACAATGGATTTGAGAAATTCGTAATTGAGTATATATTCTCTTGTATATTTCTAACTGCGATACGTGAATCTGAATGGTTTTGTTATTCGAATAAACAGTAATAACTAATTTTATAATTCAACTACTAAATAAGAAATATAATAATTTTCGTATTCGAATGACTTTAGTAATTAGTAACAAGTAATTTTATTTTATGTACTAAGAATGTAAAAGGAATAGATGGTAATGACATGAGTAACGACCAAAAAATTCTGTAACCAATTATGTACGTACTAAAAACAGCAATAAAACATTATAAAACTACTTTCATTACAACTATCGAAAATTTGTACATTTTTCTACATATAAATTGGCAACACTCTTGCCCATTCACAAAAAACGGCATTCCAACGATAGGGTCGACTTGGCTATGTTCGTGCCGAGTCGTAAATCAACGACTATTAATGAATGAAATTAGTAGTTGAAGGATATGAAAATCATTCCAATAATTTATGCCCAATTCTTTTATCGGCACTGCTATCAGCCTCTGGAATAAAATCCCTGTAGATCTACGCAGAGCACCCAGTAAGCATATTTTTAAAAAGAAGACTAATTATTTTTGTGAGTCAATAAAACCAGCTCTAGTTACAAGTTACTCAATAATTACTATATCTCATTATGCTTATTGTCGTTTTGATTATATATATATATATATATATATATATATATATATATATATATATATATATGTGTGTGTGTGTGTAAAATCAGCTGGTAAAGAATGCCATATGGCGTTAAACTGGCCACTTGTACAAAGTTTTATTGTGCATTAAAATATAAGTAATCGGATTCCTAAAATCGCGCATCGCTATTTCCGAGTGTATGAAATCAGATCTAGTAATAGGAAACTAATAATTTTGGAATACAATATTTAATATTTGTTCCATACATTTATTACTAATTTCTTAAGAGGTACGCAGAAATTAGTGACGTACTATATTTTCGTATCTCTTACTTTGTCCAATTTTATATTTAGTTTGTGGGTGAATTGGAGCTTCTTGTTCTCCCTTAGTTAATATCTTTTTGCTGGAAGCCTGACCAGCTGGCCTTTTTTTATATACATATTTGTATTTTTATATTATTCTTTTTCATATTTTTATATGTATTTCTTGGCACTTTATTCTTTATTAGTTCTGTACTATTTTATTGTTTCTCCAGTCACAATTCTTATGTAACAGATTAGATTTATCAGTAACCCCTAACACCTGTATCCTTTCGTTTCTTATCTTATCTGTTTAGTCAACATATACAGCTAATTTCCTTTCAAAATCAAGTTACACAGACTTTTATTACCAAAGTTATAATACGAGTAACCAAATCAATTTATTATAAGATTTGATGAAGCTTTAGTACCTGTTTATCAATTAATAACAACGTCTCTCCCAGATTTAAACTTGAAGTAGACTTCAGCAATAGTAAGATATACTTTACTCATTTAGTCAAAGCAGTAAAGCAACATTACAGATTTACCTGTCTAAATGTTTGTTCCTTGGAAGTGTCGTAGTTTTAACTTTTGTAAGCACATGCGAGTAAGATTTCGCAATTTAATGCAGTGTAGTAAACTCAAACAATAAACAAGCATCCTTGGAGTAACAAAATGTTTACGGATGAAGTAGGTATACGGCAGTGTGTTGCATATGAGCGGGCATTTCAAAACCCTTTGTTAAATTACTGCGTCGCACTGTAGTTTAGTCTTGGCGCCGACTATACATTCTGTTTATTTTCTCGAAAATATTTTAATTTTGTTAGCGTAACTGTTTTCATTCCATTACAATCCTTAATTACTGTATTTTTAATATTCTAAGTAATTAATGTTCCGAGAATTTGATTTAGTCGTCATAACGATTCTTTTATTTTTGACGATAAGAGCTTTTCATTTATTACTGAATTGGTATACCCGCAACTTCCTCCTCGTGACCGGGACATATTGATTTACTTGGATAAAAAGTCATCTATAAATTCTCCTCATATATCCCTCTTCATGTCAAATACAACGTGTGCAACAAATTTCATGACGATTTGTTGAGCCGTTTTAACGAACATACGTATCTATATAAAAACCAATGGCTGTTCGTTAGTCTCGCTGGAACTCAAAAATACCTTGAGCGATGTAGGTGATACAAATTTCACCGGGTCAACTATTTTAAAATATTAGTTAAGGATAAAGAATTAGTTATAACAAATATTTATAAAAAGAAGTTCAAATACTATTTAATAATTTAATGCAAATAAATCTACCGATAAATAATATTAAATAATTAAATACTACTGGAGATATTACACAACGCCATCTAATTCCAAGCTAAACAATAAAATAAAAAAGAGTATTTTCTCCTTCAGCAATATGATATAAGTAGGTACTTACGTTTTAAATCAGATCTCCGCGATGTAGGCGGGTTCAAAGCATACTGAACGCAACAAAGAACCCCTTTGTATGTAACCTTTCAATTAACAGCCGATTTGTTCACCAAAAGATAACTCTGAAACAGTCATAAATTATACACTCATATTAATTTTAAATAGAGATATAAAAAAGACATTTTATAAAATTATGAATATACGCAGTCACGTGTAATACTATTTATTATTGCATTGTAAAAAAATAGTATAATTATTAAAACTGTTTCAGATTCCTTAAACAAAAAAAAAAAAAAAAAAATAAACACTAAACATATTTCTTTATAGCAATGTTTTGTTTTTGTTGTTATTTCCTTTACCTTGTATACCTCTGAAAGTTTAAGAATAAAATTTCTGATTATTTCATTTAAATAGCAATTTGTTTTATTTAATATACATCTGCAAAAAAGGAAATATATGTGTTTGTGATATACATTAAATATATATATCTTTTCAATTTTTAACATAACAGTATAACAAGTATGCTACTTTCTTGTAAATAATCCAATTAGGAAAGTTTCTATAAAAAACTTCCTAGTTGTTTAGTAGAAAAGGACGTCTGTAAATAAAGTATTCTTTGTACACATCTAATATTACTGTACTTACTCTTCCTCCTCACATTCTTCTCCAATAATGAAGAATGTACCTCATTTTTTAGGATTGTAATTCCACCGCAGAACCATCCCCTCTCTAATTATATTTCTCTATATGTATCAGGTTTTGGCATCATAGTGAGAAATGAATTTGATCCCCTTCTCAATCGTTTACTGTCCACCCAGCTAGCCACTTTGAATTGTTCTAACTTGTATCTTGTAAACAAAGAACTACTTTACTAACCTAGATGTTACTTTGCAGAAATCCATATCACCAGTTATCATTATATGATTAGAATTATTTTAATTCCGCTACATGCTTGCATGCTTTTAAAATAAAAGTACAAAGAACTCTCTAGGGGGAAGGGGTTTTTAGTAATAGAGACTAAGAGCCCGATTGTGTCAATTGTAACATACCTTACCTGATCCCATATATATATATGATCGTTGAAAAAATCTAAGTACTCTAGTATCCTGCAATAGCATACGGTGGAAAGTGTATATATTATCTTT